GTATGCTAACAAGTACTGAAACAACATTTGATTTGTATGCTTAACACTTAGTGAAAACAATCAGCGAATAAATCACAGATTTGGTGAGTTCATAATCAAAGTGGGCACAATAGTGTTTACCAATCTGTCTTCGTAGATACAGCCTGATATTTGTCTACACCTGTAGACGAAACCCAGACATTCGAGATCAAATTAAGCAAAATCAAATCGTTTTGCATTTGTTTTGTCTGAGATGAGAAATTCTTTAAGGGACGTTGTAGCTCGGTTTGAGATAGATTCTCATTTGAACCCATACAACTTTAACCTTGTGAGACATGGAAGAAAGAACGACTGAATTTTTATACGATAAAGTCGATTGGAAGACTCTCTAGTTGATAGGCTCATGTTTCGGCCCGTATTCTGCTGATGACTTCAGTTTAAATATTGAATCGGACATGTGTAGAGCAAAACCGAACCGAATCAAATTAAAGGTGGCTATGACGAGAACCGAACCGGTTGCTATTTCAAAATAGCATACAAAAAGATACGCGGTGAGCGTGGATCGAACACGCGGCTCTCAGCCCTAAGGATGTACATCAATAACGTTATTATCATATTAGTATTTGCAAATCAATTTTCGGGAATAGAGTCACCATGTTAACTCTCAGCCTCGGAATTACATAACTACCCTTAATGAAAATCTTGAAAAAATCTTTCAATTTGCTTATTATCTTATTTAAAAACGAATTTATTTTATTGGACGATGGATAACGAATTTTGCTTTCTTCCTAAATTATTTTTGGATATATACCGTATAATTAACATATTTTCGCGCCATATATATAGAGTAAATTAAAAATTTTGTAAAGAATTAAAAATTGGAAAACCTAAGTAGAATAAGAAAACAAAGCCAATTGAAAACCAAATTGTAAATAAAAGGATGAAAACGAATAAAAACCAGAAAATAATAAGATGACAATGAAGAGAAAACAAAAGAAAATATAATATCTGATAAGAATAAGAAATAAATGGTAGAAAATGAAGAAAAAAAATTTGAAAGAAGTAAAAGACAGAGTAAAAGAAGAAGAAGATAAAATGAGATTAGGGTTTACGATGTACAGTTTATATTGATGGGTGTAAGATTTAGTTTTTGGTGCATTTTAAAAAATTTGAATACACTACATTACCGATTAAAAACAAAAAAAACGGTTTTTAAGAAAAAAAATTAAAAATAAAAGCAAATTCAGAACAAATTTGTAAAATGTGGGATTTGGGTGTGCGGTTTGGGGGGGGGATTATAATGTGGAGTTTGAGTTAACGGTGTAGGGTTGTTTATAGGGTAGGGGGTGTGGGGGGGGGGGGGTATGGGTTTAGGGTTTAGGGTTTATGGTTAATATTGACGAGTGTAGGGTTTAGTTTTTAATGCATTTTTAAAATTTTGAATTATAATGAAAAGAAGAAAAGAAGAAGTGGAAAATCTTTTGTATATCTTAAATCGAATGAAGAAGATTACGTAAAAAAAATGAGAAAGCAAAGATAAAAATAAGAAATACCATGATTAAAAAATAAGAAGTCGGTGAAAAAAAACTAAGAATACAATAAAAAATATACTATTTATATTATTCAAATCTTTAATTAATTAATGTGTTTAAAAAATATTATATTCGCACAAGGTGCGGGACAACCACCTAGATTTTAAATATATTGTATTTAATATTAATTACTATAAAAATGAATTGGTAGGTGATATGCAAGACACAAATAAGACATAATAGATACATAAGTAAAAGAAAAGAAAACAGTGAAAAAGAAGATGAAAAATTTAGAAAAGAAATTAAAAAGAAAAATCGAACATGAGGAAAAAGAAAGGAAAGAAGAAATAATGGAATGTGAAGAAAATTGTAAAACAAATGAAGAATATTACGTAGAAGAACAAGAAAGAGAAGATAAAAATAAGATACCTCAAGATTACAAAAATAAGAAGTTTGCGAAAACAAAAACGATGAATACAATAAAAAGTTGTACTACTTATATTATTTAAATCTTTACTTAATAACTAGGACTTTCACCCGCGCACGCGCGGGTCTGTATCTTAAATCAGTTTAAAATATATTTTAATTTTTTTTTTAAATTGCAAAAATCAACAATTAAAATTTATCAATATTTCAATACCAAAACTCTCTGGAAAACAAAAGTTTTTAGATATATCAATATCGTATTGAGATCAAATCTTGACATACAAAAATATTGTTTAGATCATATCCCGGTAACAAAAATGTTTGTATATGTCTAATGACCAAAACTTACTTGAAGATATTCAAATCATTATAATAGGACAAACTTACTTTATCACTAAACTTACTTGTAAAATGTAATGTTAATTTATGAACTATTGTGACGTGTTAGTCATTTTCTAAAACAGAAATATATTTTTAAATATGTTTAGTGAAATTCTTAAAATTAGATGTCAACAATATTTGTATGTAACATGATGTTTATTTAAAATAACTTCAGTTGGTTATGTTAGAACTTAAAATGCTATAAATAACAATATTTGTATGTAATAAATTTAAGCTAGATGATAAACTAATATTTTGGTAAGTTTTCAATGGTTATAAAACCTAAAACCTAAATGAAGAGAAGCTAGTCGACACACATAATTGTTCTTCATTTTCTTCTTCTGTTGTTTTAAAGTTTTTTTTAATTTTCTTTGATTCATTCTTTTTCAGTATCTTATGTTTTGTTTTCTTCTTTGTCTTTGGTCTTATTTGATTTCTTCTTCATTTTTACTCATCTTCGCGTTTGCTCTTCTTCGTCTTCGCTCTTCTTTTTTTTCTCTTTTTTGTTTTGTTTTGATTTGGTTTCTTCTCCTTTGTTCTTATTTTATTTCCTCTTTAGATTGGTCTTCGCAAGTTTTTTTGTTGTTGTTAGGTTTCTTCTCCTTCGTTCTTGTTCGAATTCCTCTTCAAATTGTTCTTCACAAGTTTTTAATATGGTTTTTCCTTATTCATCTTTGTCTTCTTTGGTCTCTATTTTGTATTCGCAATTCAATATCTTTGTTTTCGCTATTCTTCGGTTTTATCTTGGTACTCTTCTTCTTTGTGTCTACTTTTTTCTTCATTTTTTTTTCTCTTATTTCTGTAGGTTATTCTCGACCCTTAAAATTCTGCATGGCTCTATTCCTCTTAAATTTAGAATAAATTATAATTAAATAAAACACAATTTCGTTACCTGAAAAACTGAAAATAAAATCAAGCTATAATGACTTATTGAACAAAATATATTCCAAAACAGGCCCTTTGAATGTCATATGTAAATACTAAAATGAGAAGAAATTTATCTTATTCTGTTTTTCATAAATTTACTTTTGTTTATATTCCTTCTCTTTCAAGTGGCATCTTTTAAAAATACTACTTATAAACACATGAATATGTAAATATTACAAAACATTGAAAAAACAAAAATAGAAAAATAGAAAAGGAACAAAATACAGCCTTCTATTGTGTTTGCCTTTTCCTTTCAATTTGTGTCATGTAATCACTATTCTGATTTTTTTTCTTTCTTCATAATCAATATTATTTTCCCCATCGAAAGCTTACTAATTTAGGAGCAACAATTCACTTTTGATTTAATCTACACTTTGGTAATTTCGATTCCTTGTTCTCTTCATAGTCCTTTGAATTTTTTGTGGTAATGTAACTTATTTATTAATTAATTGGATGTGCTTCCATTATCAAAATACAAAGAAAATCAATTGAACACCATAGACCAGATAATATTCGAAATAAAGCAAGCGAATTTATTTATTTCACAGAAGGACATGTATACCTTCAGTGTGATGCCCATTGTCTTTGTTTCAATCATTCCTTTGCTTCATGATTTTTCATTAATCCACTACATATCCTTTAGAAGAATTGATCGATCTATGTGAACTTTCAATATGTGATGTCAAAGTATCTTGTCTTCAATATATATCCCTCCATCTTGTTTCCAGGTGGTTTCTCGATGTTGGATTTGTTTGATCTTATATCAAGCTCTGACGTGAACATATGTTTATTCATGTAAGCTACATTTGATCAAAATCCAGTTAATACAATTGTAGCTTTTGTAGGTGTTAAAAAGGGAGGAGATGACTCTTGGTATATATAAGAAATAGATGGCAAAAGTGTGTTAGGGTTTTTAATTTTTATTAGCTAAAGGAAAATTTCCTTATTTGTTTCCTTATTTAATTTCCAATAGTATTATTATTTGTTTTCTTTTTTCTTAAAGGAAAATCTCCTTTTTTACAATTCTGCTGATAAAAATAAAAAGTAAATTAATGAAAAAAAATTCAAATATAAATAATTTTAGATGTTGATATATAATGATATTGTTGGTATAATTTTCTTATTTATTACATATCTCTACTAATATTACACTTATAAATTCTGGAAACTTTCCTATTGCTTACCTTTGAATTATGAAACTTTCTTAAAATATAAAAATATAAAAAGGAATTTAACTAATTGAACAAATAGCTAATTTTATGTGATGATGTGGACTGATACTATTGGTTGTTTAAAATTCGGAAACTTTCTTAATCTAGGAAATACTTATGTGGACCAATCATATCGCGTTTTTAAATCCTATGTGGACGCTCTTAGAGGCTTATAGCCTCAACTTTTATATAGTATAGATTGTATTTAAAAAATATTGTACCCGCACTAAGTGCGGGACAACCACCTTGTACATTTTATATCTACAAATTACCAATGATGGGAATCAAACATTGAATGAAACAAAGTGATGTGGAACAAAATATACATTAGCTTTGTTACTTACTAGTAACAAAAACTGTATTACTCGAACTTATTCATAACAACTGAAATCATTTTGTACTTCTTCATAGCCCAAGTTTTCTCCCCCAAATTACATAAAACCTTAGTTATTTCAATCTTGTGTATCTACATAGATTTCGAAAACTAACACCATGTTTTCCATCAAATGCTCCCAATAAAAGGCCATTGAGAAATTATCTTTGATCATGAAGCTAATGTGGTTGGCTCGCAGCTATCACGAACACAAGCCAAGACATCTCTGTATTCTCTATAAACGGTGAAAGAGTCATACACTTGACCATCACTACTCTTCTTATACTCAAAGAGAAGCGACGAATGATCAAAAGCCGTCAACTTCACAAACCCATAATCATAATCCCTAAACACACTCCATCTCGGTTTCAACGAGCTGAAAGAAGACAAATGACTTCCTCCACCTCCAACAACCACATGTATAGTTCCTTTGAAAGCTCCTGAGTAATGACTCTTCTTCTCATCATCCACACATTGGCTCTGATAAACAGGACAAGTCCTCTCGTAGTTATGCACATGGCCGTAAAAGGCAATGTCTACTTTATACTTCTGCCACAGCTTCTGCAAGCTCTCTCTTCCCATAGGCTCTTCGAACGTTCCTTCTTGACCATACCAATCATTCGTCGAGTAACCAAGAACACGATGAGCGATAAAGATTAGCCAAGGCTGAGTCTTTCTGTCAACAGAGGCAAGACAACGCTCTATGAATCCGTATTGCTCTGACCCTTCTCTCCAATCATGTTCTGTGTCCGCTACACAAAACCTAAACATTCCGTAATCCGCAAGGTACCAGAACTTAGCTTTGTTCTCAGCTGGGAAGTCGAACATTGTTTCCGCAGGAACTCCACATTCTCCTCCAGAGTCTTTACCTCCATAGAATGATCCAGAGTCTGGCCAGTCCCGCTCGTGGTTGCCACTAAAAGAGTTAACAGAAGTTAAAGAACAAGAAACCGATAAAAAAAACAGCCTTATTATGGCTAGGAGAGACTAACCTTGCGACCATGTATGGAACAGTAGAAGCAATAGGCTCAACTTGAGCTGTGAACTGATCCCACTGCGAAATGTAACCGTTCGCGTAAGCCATATCTCCAATATGGAAGACAATGTCAATGTTCTTCAAGTCCTTGATGACTTGGTCTGTTGTGTTGAGTGAACCAGGCTGATAATCATTGTATTCGTTCGATCCATCTCGCTCTCCCTTAAAGAAACACATCAAGAAAACATTAGACAAGGCAATGTTTAGGAGACAGTAAGTAAGTAAGTAAAGTACCTTCCCCATGTCGCCGAAGATAATGACACGTTGTAACGAGTCTTGTCCAGGGTAAGGAGAAGACTTGAAGGTGAAGTTCTTGCTCCAGATGATCGATCCATTCACCAACTCATGACCCATCCTATATGTGTACCTTGAGGTACTCACCAATCCAAATATAGTTACAAAACCATGTGGTTAATCAAGAAAGATAAAAATGATACTTGTATATATATTACTTGAGGTTTGGCCAAAGATCTTTCAAGAAAGCAGTGTGGATGAAACCCGGATCGCGCCAACCAACAGTACGAGCAGGACCACCTACGAGTGGTAACAATCCAACTTCAAATTCAAGTCAAAGATGAAGAGTAAAAGTGTGGAAAGAATCTCAAAAAGTGAACATACCACACATGGTGTTTCTTGTAAATGTCAAGGTACCAGCTGGTGATCTTCTACTTTGAGTGATTCCTTTACCACTCCATTCAACAAACGGAACAGCCTCGTCTATGTTATATCCGCTCGTCCATGTCACGCTCATCTATCGAAAACTCAATATAAAGCATGTTTTTTTAGCTTTGAGAGTTCTTGATGGTGTAAAGCATGTTCAAGAACATCATCATTGACTCAAGACTTAGGGAAAGAAAAAATTACTTGATCCCAGTTCTTGGTTAAAGCAAGACGAGGATAAACAGGAGCTTTAGGGTTGGTAAATGAGACATGATCCGAAACCGCAACAAGATTTGGCTGTACCAGCAAGATATAAACAGATCAATTTCAAGAACATAGGACATGGACAAAATCGAGGTAATCAAAACTGACGTTTGAGAGTCCTCCGGTGAAGAGGGCAAAGGAGAAATCAGCTCTCTGGTTGATAAGCAAGAACTTCAAAACCGCGTTACCGGTCTTTGTATAGTCAGGACTGGACTTGGCATACATGTACTGTCGAATTGAGATGAAGATGAAATGTCAAAGTTTGAGAGAATCTAAGAGTGAAACAAAATGGTAAATAGGAACCTTAATTGGAGCTGAGCAGATAAAAGGAGCTATCTCTTTGCCATCTGTTGGAGCGCAAGAAGATGAGCTAAAAGAAGAAGAAGAAGAAGAAGAAGAAACACACAAAGACACAATGTTGTTTTAATACATCAAAGCTTAGTTAAAGATTCATTAAAAAAACAAAAAAGAGTTTGATAGATAATGAAAAAAATACTCGAATTTTGCTGGTGAGAAAACTCCAACCCAATCGTCTGAAGAAGGCTCTGGATTTGTAATACTAACATTTACCCATTCTGTGTCCTCTCCCTAAAGAATCAGACATTATCAAAAAGGTTAACTAAATCAATTTTAGATTATGCACACAAATTTGAGCATTACAAATAGTTTTGGTCTTAAGCTAAGCTGTGTACCTGAGAACCAAGAACACGAGGGGAAGCGTGAATGGTTGCAGAGTGATGCAGAGCCAAACTTGTGCTGTAAATGTCAATCTGAGACAGTGCTTGATCTCCTCGTCCATCTGAACACAAGCTCGAAGCCACATGTACGATGAAGAAACACAGAAGCGCAAACAAATCCCTAGCCCTCATCGCGACTTTCTTCTTTTGTTGATGACAAGATGATAACGGGGATGTTTATTAGATTAGAGAATCCTGGAATTCTCCAAGATTAACACTTTTTTCAATCGGATGATTTTCGAATTCTGCAAGATTCTGGGTTTTTGTTCATATCTATCGCTTTTTAGGAGAAAAGACAGAACAGAAGTTTTATTTTTCAGGAAGACAGGAGTCGGATAATTTGTGTCCGAACTTAACTTGCAAATCAATGTCATATTGTTGAGTGAGCACATAATGTCGTAACATTTGTCATTATCAAGTTAAAACTCCATTTACATAAACTTCTTTATCATATGAAAATGCTATGAAATTAGGGAAAATGCTATGAAATTTGGGTTGACTTTATCAATTTTAAATCCGACAAAATTCAACGAAGTCAAACTTTTTGTTGGTAAGCTTGCAAATCAATTATTTTCTTACATGGAAACTGTTTTTGTTTTTGCAAGTTTTAATTTCATTAAATTTAAACTTTTTTTTGACCAAAGGGTTCATTAAATTTAAACTTCAGAACTGTAATTTCAAGAAGGAATTATGTTATCTATAATCTTTGATCTCAGTACCATAAGGCACAACAAAGTTTTTTTTTTTTTTTTTTCAACAGGCACAACAAAGTTAGAAATTAAAATAAATAGATTTTAATGACACTGACTTTAGAAGCAAAACTCAAATGCAAAGTGTTTTCACTTTGGAATGTGACGTTAAAAACAAACTCTTACCTCCGGATTTCGTCTAAGCAAACCCGGTTGCATTTTCAGGTCCCGTTCCACTAGTTTTCTTTACTGTTTTCTTATCTAGTTTGCAGAGAACTGCTCTCAGCTTCAAGCATATCAGGCAATAGTTTCTTCCAGAACCAATGTTTCCTCCATAAGAGTGACATCTCTTCAATCGGCACTCCTTTAGTCTCGGGCAACAAGAAGTAGACAAAAATGGTCATCAAGGCAAGCCAACCAGCAAAGAAAAGAAAAATCCCAAATTTCAGTGCACATAGGAGATACAGAAAAGACTGAGCAGTGATGAACGAGAAGAGGAGATTGACAGCAACCGCAATACGTAACCCCGAAGAACGCGTCGCCAAGGGAAATATCTCACTCGGTACAGTCCATGCAAGAGGACCCCATGACCATCCATACCCCAAAAGAAAAATAGAGAAAAAGATTGCCAACAAGATTGAGTATCCTCTTGATAGCTCTTGATTGTCTCCAAATTTGTATCGCAAGATCACCGAGACTATGACCTGGTTTCAAACAAGAAGTAGACCGTTAGACACATTCTACAAATCATTAGGCCTAGGACTTCGGGTTTATGTCTCAGATCAGGTTTTGGATTTTGGATTTAGAGATATAGGAACCGTTGGGTAATTTTGAATTTGTTCGAGTTTGGTCCGGGTTTTTTTGGGTTCAGGTCGGTTTTCGGGTTTTACATGAAACACAAACGGTTTTTTGGTTCATCTAAATTCGGGTTTTTGGGGGTTTTCGAATTTTTCGGATTTTTGAAGGCTTCTCGGGTTTAGGCTTCGAGATATAGAAATCGATAGAGTATTTTTTTAAATTTCAGTTTGTCTTCGGTTCTGGTGTTAAGGTAGGATTCGGATTCGGGTTCGGTTTTCGGGTAAAAGTCTCAGGTCTTAGGAAATAAATAATCTTCTTCTTACCTGACAGATGATCATCAGCAATCCGCCACTAATGAGCAAAGCTCGTCGTCCTACTCGGTCTACGAATGCAATGGAAACAAAACTCGAGATGAAAAGGACAACTCCAATGAGGACTGCGGAGTAGAGGAGAGAGTCTTCCCCAAACCCCATCATCAAGAACAGAACCGGCGCGTAGAAGAGAATGCAATTTGTTCCGGTGAGGATCTGAAACGTAGGCATGAGAACCGCCATGACAAGTTGAGGCCTGTATTGTTTCCGCAACATGTCCTTGAAAGGATGCTTGACAGAGTTCGCCATCTCGCTAGCCACTACCATATCTTGAAACTCGGCGTCTACGTTTCTTGTTCCTCTAAGCTTCTCAAGAACCTCAAGGCCTTTCTCCGTTAACCCTCTCTCGATCAAGCTGTGTGGAGTCTCCGGAAGTAAATAACCTCCGAAAGCCATGAGAAGAGACGGCAAAGCAGCTGAGCCGAGAGAGAGCCTCCATCCCCAAGGATTGAGGTTCTGTGTGGCGTAACTGATCATGCTCGCCGCAAAGATCCCAAGAGTTGTTGCTAACTGAAACAAAACGGTGAGTCCACCTCTCATATTCGCTGGTGCCACCTCTGATAAATACACAGGAACTGCCTGAGTTTCAAACCCAACGCCAAAACCGAGCAAGATCCGTCCAAGATAAAGCATAGCGAGGTTCATCGATCCAGCGTTTACAGCAGCTCCGATGAGATAGAAGACTCCGGCGCATATGATGCTTGCACGCCGTCCATAGTTTGTTGTTATCGGTGAGGCCAAAAGAGTGGCAACCATGCCGGCGATGTACATTGTCGAGTTAAACGCCGCGAGTCCTTGATCGTTGAACTTGCAGTAGTTGTCTTCATGAGCATTCCGCTTCTTCTTGTACACGTCGTTGAAAAACTCACTGAGGAACTCATCCGTTGATGTGACTGCACCTGAGACACCGATGTCGTATCCGAACAAGCATCCACCAATGGCTGCGACAAGGCAAGCGATGACTACAAAGCCTGTGATCCTCCCTTGGTATCGCTCTGCTCTCTCACTGGATGGTCCCAACAACCTTCTTGCCATTTTCTTTTTTTGTCTATGTACTTCTTATGATTTGGCTTAATGTGTTTAAATTCTCAATTCTGTGAGAGAATCAAAGAGAAAAGATACAAAAAGTTACACTAACATCTTTATTTCATGTTAGCCGTGTTTTGTGGATCAATAACTTTTGTTTTCATCATCTTTTTAAGTGTCTTTTGCTTTTTTTGATCTTGTGTTCATGCTACTTGCATGATGCCACTGACAAGAATCCGGAAAATCGTCATGGCAAAGACTAAATTTGGTCATCAATGGCAGAAACATTTTGATATAATTTGATCACATTCCAAACTACATTTTGACCTTACAAGTTTCACAAACAGTTCTACTACAAGCAACAAAAGCAGAGAAACAACATAGACTTACAGCGAACATAATCAAAAGGGCGTGATATAAAAACCAGAATAAGTTTTCATCATCTGTTTGCTATCCGAGGCCTTGAAAAATGTGGAGCAAGTTTCTTCTCGAGATCAACCAAGCTGGAGAAGAGTTATGTACAAATGCACATGAATATAAATGTTTTGAAAATGTGTTGGTTTGATTAACAAAGAACATTATACAAAGTTACACAGGAGAGTTTGAAACTTACATCTCAAATCTGCGTTTAGCTTCCTTCTGTTTTGTATGGTAGAGATCACTGTCTTTTGGTATGTTGCTCATTGGATCTGCTGTAAAAATTTGTAACCAAAGATCAAGAACACAACCGCCATAAATACACTATTCATAGTCAAAAATGTGTCACTAAATGTCCATTACGCTATGGTATCATATCAAACCAACACATTTTCAACACAGAGAGCAAGAAAATGGCGTTACCAGAGATGGAAGATGTGTGTTTCTCGCCAAATTCTTTGTGAACTTCCATTGCAGTTTCTCTACTCAGCCGGATTAATCCCTGATTTCAAGAACACAAGTTAACATTAACCTAAGAAAGGCATTTGGATTCAACAAAATCAAGAAAAATGCAGAGTCTTGGTTTTTACCTTCTTCTCCTTCCTTTTAAGTATCTTGAGATGGCATTTCTTAACGTAATGAGTCAAATGATAACGAGAATGTCTCGAAGAGAGCTCTTCTTTAACCTCTGGATTCGCATCGAGCCATTCAGAGATATCCTTCGATTTCACCAAATCTCCATAGTCCAATGACTCTAGCCACGAATACACTGGTAACCACTGATCCGTCCTCTGAAATCGAGCTGGATGTTGATCCGATTGATTATTATTATTCTCTTCCACATTTTGCTGCGAAGAAACAATAATCAAATCTTATGCAGATTCCTCCAATTCCAGAAAAATCGAAAATCGAGAATTGAGTATCGGAGAAGAAGTTTTTGTTACCTCGGTGTGATCCGGTGGAGGAGGTCTCATGTAATGTTGCATTGAGAGGAGGCGGTCGACGACTTCGGAGCGAGGCATGACGCGGAGATCCGCCGGCAGAGAGTCGAAATTGGAGCCGATCCAAGTCTCGACTTCGCTGGAGCTGACGTCGGCCTTAGCGTCGGGGAAGGCGGTGATCCAGGCTCGAGCCATTGTTTCCCATTCCTGAGACGGCTCGGTTCGCTGGTTCGGGATTTTGTTTCCCTTTTCATCTTCTAGGGTTTCCTTACTCGAATTCGACATTTCTTCTGAGACTGACTTGAATCCAGATTTTTGGTTTTAGGAAAATTTTATTTTTGTTTTCTTTTTTATCAGGTGTTAATATTTATTTTTGGTGATATACCACAAGTCCACAACAGATAATCAAACATATTTGATGAAACATCAGATTCACATAGCTTAAAACCACAACATATAATATTTTTCTTTTTTTGTCAACCAACATATAATATTTTAAAAATTAGAAAACAGCATGAAATTATTACAAATTGTTAAGTTAATCAAATTGATCTTATAGCATTCATATCATGCTTTTCACTAGGCATAGCATAATCACCAAACCCGAAATACCGATCCAAAATACCCGACCCGAACTGAACCAAAAACTTTAAAATACCCGTTTGAGTGAGGCTGAATAATTCTGGGTATCAGATAATACATGAACCAAACCAATATCCGAATTATACGCAAAATAACCCAAAATATTTAGCATCTATACTCATAATACATATTTTATTTATCTTTAAACATTTTAAAACACTGATTTTCGGATAATATAATTATTTTCGGTATTTTTTGCACGTTAGGGTAGTTTCGGATAGGTTTGGATATTAAATATATATTTTATTCAAGATTCTAATTTTTGGATGATATAAATACTATGTAGTATTTTTTGCAAGTTTGAATAGTTTCGGATAGGTTTGGGTATTAAATAACCGATCAAAATCGCATCCGAAAAAAGTAGGTATATTTCAGTTCTTAAACAAAAAAACCGATATACCTGACTCTGAACCGAACCGAACCGAATCAAAAATTAAAAAAGTCTAAAATTCTAAAACCGAAAGATCCTATACTGGAAATACCCGACCCGAACCCCAAGGCTACTTTTCACATAATTAAAAGCCCGAATATACTATAAAGCCCATGATTGGCCCAATTTCATTTAGGGTTTTTGAGTCTCGATATATACACCTTTAGCCACAAGAAATCAAAGGAATAGAAAAAGGGTTTTTGAAGGTTTACGAAAAAAAACCATCGCTGCAGGATGATCACCAATCTTCCAATGGATATGGGGGAGGAGATTCTCTCTAGAGTTCCACTGAAATACATGAGAGCAGTGAAATTAACTTGCAAAAAGTGGAACGCTCCATCCAAAACTCCTAGCTTTACGAAGCTGCACATTGGTGTGCCCACCAAAACGTGACCAAAACAAATTTCTCTCTCCTGGCGAAAAATAAGGCGATTTCCACGATTTGGTGATTAGGGTCTCTCTTCCTATCGCCGCCGGCGACGGAGCCTCACGCCCGTAACCGAGAACTCTCATCTCCTTCCTTCTTCGATGGCTGAGGGAGCCTCTCTCCCTCCGTCGCCCATTCCTCAAGACCTTCTTTTCATTTCAGCGTCTCCGCCTCTAGGCTCAGATCTGGTTTCCTCTCCGACAGTGTCTCAATCGATGTCTGTCGTAGCTCAGTTACCCGCTCCGCTTTGTGAACAGAGCCCAATTGCAAAATCTTGTGCTCCCTCACAGCCGGAAAAGCCTGCTTCTTGGACTTCTAATTTCAAGCCGCATTTCAAAAATCTGACGAAGATTGGTTCGCCTACTGTATCTTCTGATGGTATTCCTCAAATCCAAGCTCCGGATTCTATTATCTTGACTTCAACTCAGATGTGGAAAAATCACATCATAGCCTACTTCCATGGGAATCCGCCTTCTCCGGCAAAAATTTTCTCAGATTTGAATCCGATTTGGGGTTTAAAAGGTCGCATTTCAATTAAGCATCACTCCTCAAGTGTCTTTCTCATCTTAATCCCTGATGTCGAGACTAGGAACTGGGTTTTGAATGTGGGTTTTTCGCATTCAGGGAATTGCTCTATTACTGTTACGCCTTGGGAGGCCTCAACAGCGATCAGGAAAATGAAGCTGGTCCATGCTCCGGTTTGGGTCCTCTTCAGACACGTCCCTCCAGAACTCTTGTCAGAGGTGGGTTTTAGTACAATCGCTTCTGCAGTGGGGATTCCGGTTCATACGGAGTATCCTAATATCAAGCCCTACTCTAATGGGGTTGTGAAATTGAGAGTCGTAATTGAATTGGCTAAAAAGAGAGCAAATTCCATTAGAGTTAAGGATAAGCTGGGGAATTCCGCTCTGGTTTTAATCGAGGTCCTCAAGCTCCCTCCGAGATGCCGCAATTGTAGAGAATTTGGCCACTTGAATCTTCGTTGTCCTGTTCCCTTAACCAAACCGGTCCTTAAGCCTCCAAACCCTTTGGCACCTTCCCCTAAGGTCTGTCAAAAAGATTCATCTTCTGTCTCTGTATCTGGCTCTTCACAAGTAGCGTCATCAACGAATCCTACCTTAGAGAAGGTTCAGGAGGTTGTCAATGTCTCTTCAGAGATCAGTTCGCAGGACTGTTCCTCCCCCTTGGCTGGTTCCCTGGAGGCGGATCCCCCTGAACCCTTACCTGAGCCAAGTCCACCGGATGATTTTATAACGGTTTCAGGCAAGTCTTTGCCCATCACAGTTCCACAAATAGTCTCTGAAAAGAGACAGATGACATCTCCAGTCTCGTCTACTCAAACTGGAGAGAAGGAAGGAAAAAACAAAGGAGCTCATTTGGTATCGATGAATCGTTTTAAGGTCCTTCAAGGCTTGGGGTCGTCTACTTTACTAGTCCTCCTGCCTAAAGTTCAGAGAAAAGTTCAAAGGCAGAAAGCGTCTCTAGCCTCTGAAGCTATGATTATTGATTTTACCCCTGGATTGGATCCTGAAGAAGAAGCAGTTTCAGGATCAGGAATTGGTTTGATTGATCGTTCGGAACATCCGCCTATAGCTGATGTTCCTGTTTTGGATTCCTAGGTGTCTAGCAGCACCCCTTTTTGACTTCTTATGAAGTGTTTTTCATGGAATGTACGAGGACTTAACGGCGATACTAGGAAGCTATCAGTTAGCCGGTGGTTTTTGGCGAATAGACCTCTTATTGGAGGACTTTTGGAAACTCATCTACAGCAGGAAAATATGGCCTCCTCAATCAATAATCTTTTCCCGGGATGGAGGTTCGAGAGTAATCACTCTCCGGAAGAGGAAAATGGTCGGATTATCGTGGTCTGGGACCCATTACTTTCAGTGATCACTTACTTGAAGACTTCTCAATTAATCTTGCTTGGAGTCTTTAATCCCTCTTCTGGTCAGTCCTTTACTATAGCTTTCGTCTATGCAAAAAATACAAGAGAGGAGCGAGTTCCATTATGGGATCTTTTGAAAGAATTGGCTGCTACCTCGTCGGTGTCTGCTACCCCTTGACTGGTTATGGGGGATTTTAATCAAATCATGTATATATATGAAGCTTACTCGTTGGTGCCTACTAATATTTCCTTAGCAGGAATGGAGGATTTTCAAGACTGCCTTGATACTTGCCATCTCTTTGATCTATCTGCTAGAGGCTGTTTCTACACATGGGACAACAAATCTATCATCAATCCAAAGGCTAGGAAGCTGGACAGGGCCGTAATTAATGAGAATTGGCAGGATACCTTTCCAAACTCCAACGCTCTTTTTGATGCACCAGGTAGTTCGGACCATTCCCCCTGTCTGGTATCTCTTTCAAATGAAGCTCTTAGACGGAAGACGAGATTCAATTTCTTCGTTTTCTTTACTCTCCACCCGAATTATAGGAGTTTGATGGAAGAGGCTTGGGGTTCAGTAAGTGTCTCAGGAGGAGCTCTCTTCATGCTATATAAGAGGTTACAAGCAGCAAAGGTTTGTTGTAAAAGCTTAAATCGATCTGAGTTTAGCAACATACAGGCCAGATCAAAAGAAGCTTTTGAGAAATTGGAAGCCATACAGCGAGAACTCCTCACAGAACCTTCCCTCCCTTTATTTCAACAGGAAGCAGAAGCTAGAAAATCTTGGGTTTTGTTGTCCTCTGCTGAAGAATCCTTTTTCAAGCAAAAGTCAAGAGTGAGATGGTTAAAGGAAGGAGACTCTAATACGGGTTTCTTTCACAGGTCAGTTAAGGCAAACCTATCAAGAAATATTATCCATCATTTGAGGGATAGCAATGGAGTCAAGGTAACAAATACTGATCAGCTAAAGTCTATGGCTGTACAGTATTATCGGAATCTTTTGGGAACTCCAAATTCAGAGGTCCAGCCCTTTTCAAAGGATCAAATTCAAGACATCCACTCCTTCCGATGTGGAGAATCAATGGCTCAACTTTTATCTGCTATACCCACAGATGACGAAATTACTAAGGTCTTCTCCAGTTTACCACGAAATAAGGCTCCAGGGCCTGATGGTTTCACCATGGAATTCTTTGCTTCTTCTTGGGATTTAGTGGGAAGTGACTTGGTGGCTGCTGTGAAGGAGTTTTTCACAAGCTCAGTCATGTTAAGGCATGTTAATGCTACTGTCATTTCGCTGATACCGAAAGTTCCAGGAGCTGAGACCTTGAGTAACTTCAGGCCGATCTCACTCTGTAATACAGTGTATAAGGTGATATCCCGGATTCTCTCGTCGAGACTCAAAATATTGACGCCAGAAGTTGTCCAGAGGAACCAAGTAGGTTTTGTCAATGGAAGGTTGCTTTGCGAAAATGTGCTTTTAGCTTCTGAGCTAGTAAGGGATTTTAATAGAATTGGTGTTACTACGCGAGGTTGCCTGCAAATTGATATTTCCAAGACGTACGATAATGTGGATTGGCGATTTGTATTGACAATCTTGGAGGCTCTCCAACTTCCCTCAATTTTTATCAAGTGGATTAATCTCTGTATCTCTTCCCCTTATTACTCAGTCTCGGTGAATGGTGAATTGGCAGGATTTTTCAAAGGGATGAAGGGATTAAGGCAGGGGGATCCCATATCCTCCTCTTTATTCGTTTTATCAATGGATATTTTATCAAAGCTCTTGGACAAAGCAGTGTTAAGTGGAAATCTTCGGCCTCATCCGTTCTGTGTGGATCCTCTCATTACACATCTCAGCTTCACTGATGACGTGCTAATTTTCTTTGATGGCTCTGAAGATTCGTTAAGAGGCATTCTCAAGGTGCTTAAGGATTTTGAAGGCACTTCGGGCTTGGCCTTGAGTCTCCAAAAGTCCTGCTTATTTCTGGATGGTAACAATCAGGAACTTACTCGACATCTGGCTTCTACTTTTGGGTTGGTTCACGGAGCATTACCGGTTCGGTATTTGGGTCTTCCCCTATTGCCTCACAAACTAAGACCTCTTGATTACCAACCCCTTATCGACAGAGTACGATCCAGAATCTGCTCCTGGACCGCGAGACAGCTTTCTTTTGCCGGTAGACTGCAACTGATTCAATCAGTAATTTATAGTATGATAAATTTCTGGTCGGCTGTGTTTCCTCTACCCAAGAAGTGTTTGGATCAGCTGGAAAGGATGTGTAATGCATTCCTTTGGAATGGAACTCCAGATTCAGCTAGAGGAGCGAGAGTTTCATGGAGTTCAGTTTGTTCTCCAAAAAGTTCAGGAGGTCTCGGATTACGAAGACTGGAGGAGATGAATCAAGTCTTCGGGTTGAAATTGATCTGGATGTTGTTTTCATCGAATGGATCACTTTGGGTGGCTTGGGTTCATAAGTATGTGATCAAAGACAGACTTTTCTGGTGTCCATCCCTTCGAGTGACGGGAAGTTGGATTTGGAAGAAAATTTTGAAGTTGCGGGATGTTGCTCGACCTCATTTACTCTGTCAGGTCAACTCAGGGGACACGGCTCTCTTTTTTCACGATGATTGGTCGGGTCTCGGTCCCTTAATAGACCTGACAGGTGCAAATGGACCTCGAGTTACTGGTATCCAACGAATGGCTACTGTGAGTCAGGCGTGCCGGTTTTCAACTTGGTCTCTTTCTAGGGGAAGGCACCCCATTCTCTGTCTCTTGAGAGATTGTCTTCCCACAGAATTGCCATCTTCTTTAAATGGGAACAGGGATGTTTTCATATGGAAAAATTCACCGGATTCAAATCCTGGAGAATTTTCTTCGTCCAAAACGTGGGACTTCCTTCATCCGGTAGGCCCCTCTCTCTCTTGGACCAAACCTCTCTGGTTCAAGGAAAGGATCCCTAAGCATACGTTCATTATGTGGATAGTTATGAGGGATCGTCTTATTACTCGAGATAAAATTAGATCATGGGGTCTAAATGTTCCCTCGGAGTGTCTTCTTTGTGATTCTTTGCCGGAAACCAAATCTCATATTCTTATGGAATGTGTCTATTCAAAAGGAGTTTGGTATGCTCTTTTTCAAAACAGCGGTTTCACCTTGCCGATTTCTATAGAGGAAGTGCTTCAGTGTGCTAATACGCTTCCCTCACAAAGGAAGATGAAAATAATTTGCTTACTTCTAGTGCAGGCGATTGTCTACAGGAGAGAGCGTAATGCTAGGCTACATTCTCCAAATTTCAAACCCATTCATGTTTTGGTTAAGGAAATCCAGCTCCTCTTGAGAGCGAAACTCTTTAGTCTGGATCGTTCCTCCTCTTTGGTGGTCACTAATGCATCTTCTCGTCCTGCTAGCCGTGAGGATTCATTTTTGTCCATTTGGTTCCGCCTGTTTCAGGTTTAGCTTTGGTTTTTCTATCCGTTGGTTGTATCTTTCTTTCCCGCTCTGTTTAGGTCTGCCAACTTATGTCTTGTTGTGTTTCCTTTCCCTTGTAAAAACTTTGATAAATATATTTGCTCTTTAAAGTAAAAAAAAAAAAAAAAAAAAAAAAAAAAAAAAAGCTGCACATTGGTAAAGCATCAGATAGAACAAAAGAAGGTGAGTCTCAGATGATCGTGATGATGGATTACAATCTTTATTTGATGAGCGTCGTCGTCAACGACCTTGATCCATATGCAGAGCTTAAAGGCAAACTTATTTGCCTTGACCAACAAGTCAAGATATTTCAAGTCTTTCACTGCGAGGGTTTATTGCTATGCATCTTGAAAGACGATATTACTAGGTACGTGGTTTGGAATCCGTATTGTGGGCAAACAAGGTGGATCAAGCCCAGGTTTTCTTACCCTCCAAGAAAAGGGTACAGTTTCAGTTATGCTCTCGGATATGAGAATAAGAAATCTTGTCGTAGCCACAAATTCTGAGGTTCATAGAGCATTACGTGGATGGACCTGACAAATTCTGGTGTGAGATATACAATTTTGACTATGACTTATGGAAGAATATTGATGTTAATCCACACTGGCGTATACAGTCTCGTCATAAAGGCGTTTCTCTCAAGGGAAACATTTATTGGTATGTTAGAGCAAATAACTCAGGGTTTCTTGAAAAATCTTACATAATATGTTTTGATTTTACAAGAGAGAGATTTGGGCTGCTTCTGCCTCTACCGTTTAAATGTTGTGATAATAGGCTGGTGACTCTATCTTGTGTTGGAGAAGAGAAGCTTGTAGTTTTCCCTAACCAAAAATATGTAGATATTCAAATTTGGATTACGACTGAGATTGAAGTCGGAAAGTTCTGAGAACCCGTTTGATTGGTTGGCAAATGAAGCAGCTGTGCAAGATGAGAAGGAGCCAGATGATCTTTTAGAGGAATCTCAGGAAATTGTCTTACACAAGTCTACTTCTTATCAGACTCCTTTTTTCTCAGGCTCTCCCAGACAGTCGAGGAAAAAAAGAAAATGGTCCTCCAAAAACTCACCGATCTCCGGTGGCGATATCCCTCTGATTACAGGGGGTCGTCACCAAAACTAAAATCCCTTTATGTGTGATAACTTTTTTTGGAACGTGCGTGGCATCAACGACTCATCGAAGCATCGCCCTTTAGCTAGTTGGATACATAATAAGCCAATAGCTTTTGGAGCCCTTTTGGAGACGCATGTAAGGGAAGTAAATAAGGATAGTATTTTGTTATCTATATGCCCTGGTTGGACGGCTATATCCAACCACCACTTTTCGGATTTGGGTAAGATCTGGATCATTTCCAATCATTCAACTTCCATTACGCCCATATTTTTGGATAAGCAATCTATCACATGCGACGTTACACTAGAAGATGGTCAATCCTTTATCTATACAGCGATATACGCTTCTAATGAAGCGGAGGAAAGAAAAGAGCTTTGGGTTTCTCTCGAGGATTCTTATATAGCTTTCGACTTGGCAAACAAACCATGGATGGTGAACGGTGATTTTAATGAGATTTTGGTAACTGATGAAAGCTCAAATCCTCATCTGGTGAGCACAACAGAAGCAATGAAAGAGTTTGGTGATTGTTTGTCCTCAATAGGCTTGTTTGATATGGCCTCTCAAGGACCGAAATACTCGTGGTCCAACAAGCGCCTCTCTGATCCTATCTCGAAAAAGCTTGACAGATGCTTGATCAATGATCAATGGCTGCTTCACACTGCATTTTTGAGCCGCCTGAATTCTCTGATCATTCACCGGGGCATGTGAAGTATTTTACTCCTCCTCCCACCTTTGAAACACGGCCGTTCAAATTCTTTAATTTTGTTACAAAGCTTCCTTCGTTTCTGCCTTGTATCAAAGAAGCCTGGTTAGTGGCAGGAGAGACTGCTCAATCTTTGAAAACAGTGGGATACAAGCTAAAAACCTTGAAACCTTCTATCAAAACTCTTTGCAAGGAAAAGTTTAGCGACTTGGAAAACAGAGTACTTCAAGCTAATACTGAACTGAAGGATATACAGCTAAGAGTTCTAAACAACCCCACTACGGTGAATATGCAGTTGGAACGATCTGCGAGAGATAAGTGGCTGCAGTTACGGTTAGTTGAGGAAAGCTTTTTCAGGCAGAGATCAAGAATTAAGTGGTTAGCAGAGGGTGATTTTGACACGAGATTCTTTCATCTAGTCACCAAAGCCAGGAATGCGGCAAACGCAATCAAATACCTAAAAAAACCAGATGGATCAAGGACCTCTTCTCTGCAGGAGGTTCACCTTTTAGCGCAGTCTTATTACGGGAGAATCTATAATACGCTGAAAGGTGATTTCTGTCCTTTCTTAGATATTTTCCTCAACAGGACAATAACCAAGTGATGCTCCATTACACAGCAACAGCTTATGAAAAGCTCTTTTTCTCCAGAGATTATTCGAGCTTCTCTGTTTAAGATGCCTTTAAATAAAACTCCGGGCCCTGACGGATTTACTATGGAATTTTTCAAAGCAAGCTGGGAAATTATTGGTCCACAGATAATTGCTGCAGTCCAGACTTTCTTCTCGTCGGCTTTTATGCCAACATCTCTCAACTCAACAACATTGGTTTTGATCCCGAAGCGTAGAGGAGCGGATGACCTGAAGGATTTCAGGCCAATATCTTGTTTGAATACTGTCTACAAGCTCATCACTCGGTTGATCTCAGAGCGCTTGAAGAAGATTTTGCCACAAATTATTCTGGCAGATCAGACGGCTTTTATTAAGGATAGGCTCTTACTTGAAAATGTCCTTCTTGCTGCAGAAGTCATTCATGGTTATCATCGCCTGGGCAATACACCTAGAATCACATTGAAGATTGATATAGCAAAGGCTTTTGATTCTATGAGATGGGATTTCATTTTACTTTGTCTCAAGGCTTACCAAATCCCAGATGAAACAATTGGGTGGATCAGAAGTTGCATATCCACACCTTCTTTCTCAGTAAGCATAAATGGAATAAACTCAGGGTATTTCAAAGGCAAAACAGGTCTTCGTCAAGGAGATCCTCTTTCTCCTATCCTTTTTGTCATGGCCATGAATGTACTTTCTTTGATGCTAAACAGAGTGGCTATTGATGGGATTTTCAAGTATCATCCACGGTGCGAAGAGTAACAGCTAACACATCTATCCTTTGCCGATGATCTTCTTATTTTTGTGGAGGGCTCAAATCTGTTGCTGGGGTTTTTACGGTTTTATCTCAGTTTGAAAAAATTTCTGGATTAGCCGTAAACATCTCGAAAACGTCGATGTTCTGTGCTGGTGTATCTTCCCATACCCTTGGAGAGATACAGAGCAAGTTTTCTTTGGCCCCTGCTTCACTCCCAATACGCTATTTGGGGCTGCCACTTTGTTCTAAAAAGCTATCTGTCAATGACTGTGATCCGTTGATATCCAAGATCAGAATCAAAATCAATAGTTGGATGCATAGACATTTGAGCCTGGATGGACGTTTACGATTGCTCTCATCGATAATATCTGGAATCATCGTCTTCTGGACACAAGCCTTCTTCCTCACAAAAACAGTTATTCGGAAAATAAACTCTTTATGTAGCTCGTTTTTGTGGCATGAAAAGCTAGACTGCCCTACAGGGGCTCGGGTTGCTTGGTATGATGTTTGTTTCCCCAAGGCTGAAGGGGATTTGGGAATCAGATCAATATCATCATGGAACGAAACTAGTGACTTGAAACTCATTTGGATGTTCTTCTTTAGATTTGGCTCAATTTGGGTTGCTTGGATGCGGAGCCGGTATCTCAATCGCTCTTCTTTCTGGTCTTTAAAGGAAGATAATGCCACCTTCTCATGGATGTTTCGAAAAATATTGAAGCTTCGTCAAAAGGCTCTTTCATTTTTGAGGATTTCGATTGGTTTAGGGTAGCAATACCTAAACATTCCACAACTACTTGGCTGTTCGTTCTGAACAGGAATCCAACATTATCACGCTTATTCTCTTGGGGTTTGGACGTGGAGGACACTTGTCTACTTTGCGGGGTTGCTCCATAAACAAGAGACCATCTGTTTTTTGAGTGTCCTTATGCGAAATTAATTTGGCAAGAAACTATGGACAGACTTCTCTTACAAGCTGTACCTACCGACTGGACAAGCATTTTAATATGGCTTAGAGTGGCTTCTCCCCAAAGCAACAAATCTCTGGCGATACTTCAAGGTTGGCAGGCCTGTATCTACGAGATTTGGAGTGAACAAAATAGGCGATTCCATGATGGAATCACGCTTCCGCCACACTTGGTTGCACAGCGCATCATCTCTCTCCTCAAAAACAAGGCTTTGGCCTTGTAGAGTTTGGCACTACAGGAAAAATGGGTATTAATAGCAGAAAGTAATAGCGTTTATACCCTTTCCGCTATTAAATCATTTGTGATGGATTTATTATAGCGTTTGTTAAAAGGTAAACGCTATATTATGATGGGCGGCAAAATTAAAACTATCCGCGCTTTATTTTTGGGCCAAGCATTGGTCTGTTATAGCATAAGTACCCAAGAAACGTCATTATAGAGTTTAACCGGGAATCTAAAAATTTTATTGCCTCCGAAAAACTTTTTTCCTGTAGTGATGGGAAATTAAAAAAAAATAAAAAAAGGCAAATCGAAAATCAGTAAAACATTTCGGGTGCGAAAAAACGCTCTATGTTCTTTCTTTCTCGACCCAGATCTCTGTCTTTTCTTTCTTCTTCGACCGCTTATCTCTTTTACAGTTCTCATTCTTCATCTTCTTAATCGTCAGGGCATGTTTAGTTTCGATCTACTACCATTAACCCTGTAAATCGACACATGCATTCATCTTTCGAAAATCAATCGGCGTGTGAGAAATTGACATTGGAGGTAAAATCGTGTTTGGGTGTTCCTTATTTGTATCAATTTGTTGTGTTAACGAGCTGGGTGTTAAGTAATTTATATTAATTTGCTCTTTTGCAGGAAGATTACTGTTAATCTGCGATTCAAGGTACTTAGATTGGGATTCTGATTAATTCCTACTTCGTTTTTCAAATTCATTCTTGTGGTCATGTGGTTTGTTCTGAGATGTGTAATTCATATATGTTTGTTTGCATTTGCAGATTAAATTTCTCAGACACAATCACAACAAGGTATTGACATTTTAGATTCGTAAAATGGTTAGATATTTTGATTCATGAAAGAGTTGGGATGTTAAGATTTTGCTGGAACTTGTTTTTGTGTAGATTCGTGGTGCCTATTCTGAAGTCGAATCTTATTGTTTGTCCAAACCTTGTAGCCTGATTGTGTAAGCTCTCATCTATTCCTTTTATGATCTTTACATTGTCTCTACTGTGAGTGTTTATGATTATAGTTGGAGTGCCTAATAGTTAAACTTATATCTCACATATATAACCGGTGTTCGAGCTTGGGTCTTTTGGTGTAAAATGGACAAGGCTTGGGTTTGGCTTCCAAGGTATAAATCTGTTTTATTGCTTCATTGTTGCTATTTGATTTTTTCACTGATCTTTCGTCTACAGCAGAAGTGATTTCAAATTTGTAATTTGATTGTCTGACAGGACTAGCCTTGAGTACGAACTAGGATGTCAAAATTTTGTTAATGCATCATCAAGGAGTTTGGGAAATCTTAGTGAATTGTTCTGTCCATGTGTCGATTGCCGCAATGTTTGTCATCAGCCGAGGGAGACAGTAGTGGATCATCTAGTTATTAGGGGTATGGATCAGAAGTATAAGAGGAATCAATGTTGGAGTAAGCATGAAGAGCAAAGAAAAGCTGCAAAAGATGATGTTCCGACATCAGAATCTGAGGCCTACAACTTGATTAGGACAGCTTTCTTTGATGGAGAAGATAATGAACAGGACCCGAGCCACATTAGAGGTGAACCTGAAGCGAGTGACAGTGCAGAAGAATCTCAGTTTAGGGACAAGTTGAATGAGGCTGAAACTCCACTCTACACGACATGTCACAAATACACCAAGGTTTCTGCGATAATGGTTCTGTATCGCATCAAAGTGAAGAGTGGGATGTCAGAGAACTCTTTTGATCAGCTTCTGACAGCAATTAAAGACATGCTACCAGAAGACAATTTGCTTCCGAAGCCCACAGACGAGATGAAGAAGTTCTTGAAGATTTTTGGGTTTGGCTATGATGTTATTCACGCATGCAAGAATGACTGCATCCTTTATAGGAAGCAGTATCAGAAGATGGAAAGTTGCCCAAGATGTAGTACTTCAAGGTGGGAAGTGGATAAGCATAGTGGTGAGGAAAAGATAGGGATTGCAGCGAAGGTGCTTAGGTATTTTCCAATCAAAGATAGATTCAAGAGGATGTTTAGGTCTAAAAGAATGGCTGAGGATTTGCGTTGGCCTTATAGCAACAACAGTGAAGATGGTACAATGAGACATCCAGTGGATTCCATAACCTGGGCTCAGGTGAATGATAATTGGCCAGTGTTTGCAGCAGAACCAAGAAACCTACGTCTCGGTCTCTCTACAGATGGTATGAACCCCTTCTCTATCCAAAACACCAAGTATAGTACATGGCCGGTGTTGTTAGTTAACTACAATCTGCCTCCAACTATGTGTATGAAGGTTGATAACATCATGCTCACCATGTTGATCCCTGGTCCAACCGCACCAAGCAACAATATTGATGTTTATCTAGCCCCGCTAATAGACGATCTGAAAGAGTTGTGGAATGAAGGTATTGAGATATATGACTCGTTTATGAAAGAAAAGTTCACACTTAGAGCTGTGTTATTATGGACTATTAGTGACTATCCAGCATTGGGTACACTGTCAGGATGCAAAGTGAAGGGGAAACAAGGTTGTAATGTCTGTGGGAAAGATACACTAAGTAGATGGTTGAAGTTTAGTAGAAAATATGTGTATTTGGGCAATCGAAAGTGTCTCAGGCCTACTCATCCTTACAGGCGGAAAAAAAGGTGGTTTGATAACACAATTGAAGAAGGGAATGCAATGAGAATTCAAACAGGGGCTGAAATTTTGGAGGTTCTGAATGATTACAGAAACGTTTTTGGAAAACCTTTAGATAAGCAAAGTAAAAGAAAAAGAGCAGAGGTGTATGGTGATGATGTTGCGTCAGAGGATGAATATGAAGAAGATAGTGATCAATGGCGTTGGAAGAAACGGTCAATCTTCTACGAGCTACCTTACTGGAAGGTAAGTATATCCTGAATTATATTAAGATTGTATTTTTTTCTTTAAATGGTGGGGTTTCTAGTTTCTAATAGTTAGGTTTATTATGTTTTAGGATTTGCTTGTGCGTCACAACATTGATGTGATGCACGTGGAGAAAAATATGTCCGATGCAATACTGTCTACGCTAATGCAATCAGCTAAATCCAAGGATGGTTTGAAAGCACGAAGAGACTTGGAAGACATGGGAATACGAGAACATCTGCACACACAGGTCCGAGGGAAGAGAACGTATTTGCCTCCAGCGGCTTACTGGCTTTCTAAGGAAGAGAAGAAAAGATTTTATCTCAGGCTATCTAAGTTTAGAGGGCCAGACGGATATTGTGCGAATATCTCTAGTTGTGTGTCCATGAATCCTCCGGCAATTGGTGGTCTTAAGTCACATGATCATCATGTGCTTCTCCAGAATCTGCTTGATGTGGTTTTGAGAGGGTTGTTACCAAAGGGGCCTAGACTAGCAGTGACTCGTGTATGCAGTTACTTCACAAGACTCTGCCAGCGTTCCATTGACCCTGAGAAGCTGATACATTGGGAATCAGAGTTTGTGGAGACAATGTGCCAAATGGAGCGGTTTTTCCCTCCGTCACTTTTTGATATCATGTTTCATCTTCCTATACACCTAGCAAGGGAAACACGTTTGGGTGGACCTGTACACTTCCGTTGGATGTATCCCTTTGAGAGGTAAAGTTTACAATTTGTTGACTATAACATTTTAGTTTATGATATAGGGTTTGGTTATTAACACTTGAGTATTTGGAATTTGAGATGCAGGTGTATGAAGACCTTAAAGGCTTTTGTTAAAAATTATGCGAGGCCAGAAGCATGTATGGCTGAGGGTTATCTGGCCGAGGAATGCATCGCCTTTTATTTGGAGTTTCTGCGTAATTCAGTACCTATCGAAGAAGCAGTTAAACGTAATGAACATATTCAAGACGATGATGGTGTACTTGAGGGACGTTCGTTGAAGAAGGCAACAGAAATAATTCTCTCGGAGAAAGAAAAAGACATAGCACATCGTTATGTGTTAATGAACACAGGAGTCATGGAGCCATATATTGAGTAAGCGAAACCCATTCTAATTAATTAATTAATAATTTTCATTACTACTATATGGAAAACAAACTAATGTATCTTTGAAAGCAGGATACATTTGGAAGAACTGCAGGCAAATGATGTTCGTTGTCGGAATAACGAAACTTTACTATGGAAACTTCACAACGAACGATTTGCCAATTGGATAAAGGAGAAGGTAAGCCATAAGTTTCTTGATATTTGATATAGTTACGTTAATTGATTTCTGATATAGAAACTGTAATTGTTTTATTGTAGATACCTGCTAACTCGAAAGATCATTCCTCCAAGATACGGTGGCTGGCATTTGGACCAAGACTTGTTGCTCAGTCTCATAAGGGATTCATAATTAATGGCAAGCGGTATCATACAGATGACGTAAAGCGACAAACACAAAATAGTGGAGTTTCATATGAAGCTTTCACTATGTGTAGATCTAGTTCATGGGATAACAATCATATTGCAGATATAGTTACATACTATGGGGTCATCAGGGAGATCATAATGCTTGACTACCACATGTTCAGTACCTGTATTTAAATGTACGTTGGGCTAACAAAGGAAATGGCGTGAAGGAAGAAGATGGATTCACGCTAGTGAATCTGCATCTAAGCCAAGTCAGCTTTCATCCAAGATCCTTTCATTATGCCTTCTCAAGCGAAACAAGTATTCTACTCGAGAGAGATGAATCTTCACCCTGGTATGTAGTAATGAAGGCGCCACCGAGAGGTTATCATGAGTTAGAGACAGAGGAAGAGTTTACTGGGGCATTAGGACGGATTTGAGTTAGAAGATCTGGAAATCAATCATCAGATGATGAGAGTTTCTGTGTGAGGGATGATTGTGAAGGATTTCTAGTTGGAGAGACATAAGGTTTTTCGGTTTTTGTAGTCTCATTTAGTTACTTTGATGTTGTTTGTGTTTCAGGATCAGTGATGGTTAAGTCAAGAGTTGGGATGGTTCGCCGCAGTAAACGCAAGCAGGGTTTAGCTGTCACTCCTGAAATGAAAGCAGCAAAGGTTAACAAACGTAAGAGCAAGATGCTATCAGAGATTGTAGAAACAGGGCTTACGAATACAGAGCTTCTTGAGGCTTTTTTGTGAAAAAGAAGTTGAGGAAAAAGAATCAGAAGATGAAGTTGAGCAAGAAGAAGTTCAGGAAAAAGAAGTCCAAGAAGAAGAATCAGAAGAAGAGGTTGAAAAAGCAGTAGAGGAAGAAGTTCGCAAAGAAGTAGAGGAAGTTGCTGCGGCTAACCCATCTCAGCCAAATTTAGATGAAACAATCTCAACAGCTGAACAAGTAGAGACCCAACAATCCGTCTCCAATACTAAGCGAAAAAGAGGATTGACGAAGATGCGAAAGGTTGCAAAAGATCCTCTGGCAAAAGTTGAAGTCGAATTTACATCCCTAGGTGAACATGCAAGATCAGGATCAGTGACACTTTCGTCTTTCCTTGACCCTCTTGTGAGGGAACATGTTCCGGTACTACTTGATGATTGGAGGCAACTAGATGATGTGACAAAAGATACTCTGTGGGAAGAAATTCAGGTATGTAGGCTTTTTAACTTGCAATACTCATCATGAATTGGTTTGAAGTTCTATGATTAACTATGATCCTTTGATGCAGGGGAGGTTCAATCTACAAGAAGAGTGGCAGAAACAAGCTGTTTTTAGACAAATGGGATGTCTGTTGCAGGCTTATAAGTCAAGACTTGTTAGGGAACTTCTAGCAACGAAGTCTCATTCACAGAGACTGAAGCTAAAGCCAAGCAACATCCAATCAATGTCAAAGTGGATGAATTGGGTGAAAAGTAGAACTAGCAAAGAGTTTAAGGTTTTATACGTGCAAATATATTCAGTTATACTCTGTGAATTTGATTGGCAGATGGATTGATACATAATGTTGGCTTCACTTTGCAGGTGAAAAGTGACAAATACAGGGATTTGAGGAAATCCCAGATTTCACACACAACTAGCCGGAAAGGAATGTTTCGCTTGGCTTATGAAATGGGAAATCTGTTAGTGCATTATATTTAGTAGTTCTGTAAGCCATCTAACTTATATACATGTGTAGAAAAAAAAAGCGTTGACCCTACGAAAGTGAGTAGAAGTAAGGTGTGGTTAGCTGGACACACTCACTCGGATGGAACACCTGTGCGGCCTGAATTTTCTGAGACTATTGTAAGCACTTATCAAATTCTAAAAGTTTAGTCAATACCAAATTACATTCTACGTTATTCATAGTATGATCAATTGTGTGTTTATTAGGAACAAATACAGTCGATCGATAGTCAAATGGAATCCACTGCCAATGACAACATTAAAGAAGATGTTGTTAGTCAAGTTTTGGGAACTGATAAACCTGGAAGGATTAGAGGGTTGGGCAGAGGAATTACTGCAACCAAGCTTGCATTCCTCCAGGCTAGAGACGCACATGTGCAGAAGCTTGAGGCTTCCCAAGCCCAATTGATAAGTGAGCTTGAAGACTTGAAGAATGTAGTCCGGGACTTAGCTGGAAAGAAAGTAAGTTAAATCATTGCTTATTCTGCTCCTGGTTGTATTTGAGAAAAAAAATTTTTAATTGTCACTCATTGCTTTCTCAGAAACAGTGTGATGATCTGCCTTCTCATTCTGAGTTGAGTCATGTTAGCAAAGGAGGAGTTAAGTGTCAGTTGCTTGATTGGTTTTCAGTAGACGATGTTGTTGTGGGTGAAGGAGAATTTTGTGCATCTGATCCGACATACAAAATAGATAATATCCCACTGGGACCTAATGCGGCTGCCGTTCTTGTCAATACTGCGTTGGATAGCACAACATATGTTTGGAGGCCAACCAAAACAATGTTCACACTTGAACAAGCTGTTTGCGTCAAAATTCCTTGGCCAGTTCATAAGGTGATTTTAGACAGTGGTATGAGCTCACCAAGCGGGAATAAAAGTGGTTTCACAAAGGTAATATCAAAGTTTTTTTAATGCTTTATCTCCTAGTCGTTTTTCTTCCTAGCTCACTAAGTAGCTTTTGATATATGACTTTAGGGTGCAAGTTCAGATGACTCGTATGCGAGATGTAGACTTTATGATTGGAATATCGATGGTGAAATTATTGATGAGGGTTTGCTGTGTTCGACTGACCCGAAAGCTACGGTAAACAGCATTCCACTTGGTCCAAATGCTGCAATTGTGAAGATTGACAGTGTGCTTAAAGAGGCGGTTTATCTTTGGAGACCAACTTCTGAAATGCTGGTGGTCAATGATGCTATCGGTGTTGAAATCGCATAGCCAGCTGATAAGGTTGAATTACTTAAGCTACATACATGGGATCAATCCGTGAGAGGGTCGCTTGGGGTTAGTTTTCAACTATTTAGTAATCATACATTGATGTGTTAGTATTATTTCTCTGTGATGAGGTTTTGATGAACTTTTTTTATATTTCGGATGATAGACTGCAAGTACGAGCTCCGGAAGCAACAAAGGACCAAAGAAGAAATGCATCCTCATGGATTGCAATAACTCTGGTCAAAAGGTCGCTGAAGGTCGAGTGTGCTCAACTGATCCTGCAGATGTAGTCCATTTCAAACCCTTGGGTCCCAATGCTAGCAAGGTTTGGGTTGAGGTCTCAAAGATCGGTGATGCTAAGGTGTGGAGACCAAATTCAGAAGTCAAGTACATTTCTGATGCAATAGGCACAACAATAGCTTGGCCTAATAAGAAAATTGTTTACCTTTGAACCATTTAAGTTTGTGAAATTTCCACGTAAGACTAAGACATGTCTCTGTCTTTTTTTTCCAAGTACAAGAACCTATTCTGAAATTTCCAAACAGCAGTTTTTTAATTCACATTTGCACATTTTAATTTATATTGATTTTTTCCACATAACGAGTCAAGATATAAACGAAGTTGACAACATGTTTTTACTCCTTCGTGTCATTACATTAATAAGAGTAATAAGTTTTCCCAAAACAAGTTTAGGGGTTATGCCCTATAGAGTTTATACCCTAAAATATATGTAATTTTCAAAAGAAATTACTAATTAAACTTATATATACCAAAGTATATATATATTACTGATCCCAAGAATTTTTCTTTTTACAAATTTGAACTATTGTCTTCAATTTGTAAGTGTTCCATCTACATATTACTATCATACAACTTGATCTTATGTGATTTTTGTTTTCAATTAGTTTTTTATATCTGAAAATTTATATTAATGGAAAAAATTATAACAAATCATAAAATCACTTATATAGAATTTTTTCCATTTTGAAATTCGCAGTAATGAATTTAAAATCGCATTAATACATAAATAGACATGGAAAATAAGATATTGTTGAGCAGATTCTCAGCCAATCGGATTAGATCACGCAGATAGATGGTATGGCAAAATCTCCACCGTCCTTTAATATCTTCCTAACCGTTTTTGACCGTCGGATCTTTTTCTATGTATTTCTTTTATTGTGGCATCAACGACAAGAAAGATACTTCTCTCTCAGTTTCGTTTTACTTTCTTTCTCTACAGCTGAATATGAGTGTATTCAATGTCCTAAATCTAGATCTCGACCAAACAAATGCTCTTGATTGATTCGTCATGGACAAATTCTTCTGCCTATTTATCCTCTTTACTTATTTGTATATCAGTTTTTGTCAATCAATTTTCAAGGTGTCGACCTTATTGGATCTTCACAAATTGTTACTTTCTTCATTCACTGCCGTACTAATTAGGATCTAGCAATATCCAGACGGACACTTCCTCATATCCTGCATTTTTGGATCTGGTCATGTAAGTCTTCACCATCTTTTACTATTGAAATCTGATACTCGTTTTTTCCCTATTTAACACATCTCCAACTCAATTGTTTTTCTTTCAAATTATAGTAATTCTTAATTTTAACAATTTATCTTTCTTCTTCGTAAAATTTACTGATGTAGGATGCTCGTTGAGTACCATTCCGGATCTGAGGATCGAGTTGTACATATCATCAGGTAACAAATTTCATGCTTATATTTTTTTCTTACACAATTTCCTTTTTTTTCTAAATTGTAACAATTGCTAATCCAATATCTGAAGTTGATAATTTATTTTATTCGTCCTTAGCAGGTGGAGAGGGCCCAAGACAGTCGCTTACGTTTGCAATTAATGTTGTATTTTTTTTGTTTCTATAAATCGAACCTGTATTGTAAGCCTACTTTGTAAATAACATCTAAATAAACAATCATTTGTTAGATTTTGAAAATTTAATTCTTTTGATACCCAAACAAATGCATATCTACAATCAGATTTCGTACCAAAATAATAATATGCCAGAATTAATTAATTCACATTTTAAAAATAATTAATTTAAAATCGGTAATTCATTTTATCCGGAATTAAAAATAAATTCCCACAATCAATTAATAAATTATGAACGACAAAAAAAAAAAAAAAAAATTATGAAGAACTAGTTATAGCAATTATTGAAAGCTATAATATTTTAAATAAAGAACGCTATCAATACCCAAAGATATTTTCGCACAAATAAAATAATTTTTTTATAACAGAAATTATAACGGAGAAAACAGCGCTATTGTATAATATAATATAGCGCCTAAACAACCGCTATAGTAAATTTATTGATAACGGAAAAAGAACTGCTATTGTTTACTTTAAGATGGCGTAAAGAAAAGTGCTATAATAATCATTATTATAATAGCATCGTCAATATCCGCTATGAAATGTGTCCTATCTATTATGACGGGCGCAGACATAGCCCTTTCTACAACGCTATAATAGCATTATATAGCGTTTTTCCGGTGCTATTAATACCCGTTTTTTCTGTAGTGTGGGTTCAAGTAAAGGAGATCAGCTTCTTAGTCTCTGGTCATCCGTCTACTAGCTGCAATCTGTAGCTCTCTCTTATCTTCTATCCCCCTCCCCTCCTCTGGTTTCTTCTTCCTTTTCTTCCTCTGTTCCGACTTTTCTTTCTGTTGTAACTCTCGCATGTGAAACTCTTTTTCTTTAATGAAGATCCGATTAACAAAAAAAAAAAAAAGTCGGAAAGGTGTCTTGGAGCAGGTTCTTGCCAGTGGTGGGATCACACACTTACATTCCTTCTACACTTGTTTTTGGGAGTGAGGATTACGAGAGTTTTTTCATTAACGAGGTGAAGAAGGTGGCCATTGTTATTGATAAATGGTGGAATCACAACACAGTTGAAATTATTGGAGAGGCTGAGTATGTCAGAGTTAATGACGTGGATCTCATTGAACCTACCTACATAAGATGTCGGCCACAGGTGTACTCTTATGTTCCAAGTCCAGTGCAAATCTAGCAACCTGCATGAGACTTTATAGAGATTCTATATAGGATGTGTTGTAATTTTTGTTAAACGTAAGGCAACCCCTTTTTTTAATGCATGCAGTGGCGGAGTCAGCCTTCTACGAGGGTGGTCAGTTAACCCTGTAATTTTTTGTTTTTTTTTTTTTTTAATCTATAATAATAATCTGATGAAATATTACAAAATTAGCTTATTGACCCTTCTAACACATGGTTTCTTTCAATTTGACCCGGGTAATTTTTTTATCTAGCTCCGCCACTGATTGCATGACAACAAATTATCGAGAGTTTGAGACTACTTCGTATGATATGTATTGTATTTGTATGTAAGAATAGCCTCTTCTATTGACTCACACTCTCTGTGTCCCCCACACAGTCAAAGTCTAATGAGTGTCCATAAAAATTGTAATTGGAAAAAGAAGTACAAAAAAATTGGATTCTATAGTTACAGTATACACTTCAACTTGAAGAGAACAACAATCAAGTTTGTAAAGAACAAAAATGTGCTCAACTTATTCATCTTCTGCTATGAAGTTTGGCTCTTCTCCTCCGCATAGGTACCCATCGCACATCGACGACGTTCCCCAATCTTTCCTTAGCCTCAAGATATCCTCTGTAAAAGTTGACTCGAGGCTCGAATAGCATCTGAAAAATAAAGTATAGCTTGTGAGTATTGAAATAAACTATATACTAAAAACAGAGAAATTCAAATATATTATGTAACCTTTCTTTGTCCCCGTACTGAGAACCAAACGAGGAAGATCCGAGAGTACGAGCCTGTCTTGCAGGTAAACTCCAACCCATTACATAGTGAGCACTCGACAGAACGCTGTCCCGGTGACGTTTGAGTTTTGGTCCGTAAGTCTCAATAATCCACTGCGTTGGATCATCGCAGTTCCTTCTGTTTGAATCTCTGATACGTTTCCAGTAAAACCTGGAAAAACAAACTCTGTTCTTGTCTCCGTCTCTCTTTTCTGCGCTTGAACATAGACGTTCAAAAACTAAAAAGGAAAGAACAAAAACGAGACCATCGAGCGAGACATAAGAAATAAAGAACAGAGAACAAGAGATGATTATTGGAGACTTGGAGTTTACAGAGGAATTTTCGGGTTTTTCCTTACAGATTAAATGATTGTGGAAATTGTAAGAGCAACGTAACTAAAGGAGAAGAAGGAATTTTCCAAGTTTCTTAAAACAAGAAATTTCTTTCTTTCTTCCTTTTCAAAGGTTTGTTTATATTAGGACCCTATCTTATCTCTTAAATATGTTTTGTCTTCGTTATAAAAAAGCTGACCAAAGTCAATAACTAATAATTTCACCATTATCTTCATACACAGGTTGAAATTCTTCACTAGTAACGGTCTATAGTCTCTTCTAATGTTTGAAGAGAGTTCTTGAATAGAACTCAGACGCTGAAAAGCATGATTTATGTTTCATGGGTTATCTTTTGCGTATAGTTATCTAGGCCCGGTCCAAATAAGTATTATTATCTTGTGCAAAAAAAATTAAAAATCAACACAACAAAACCTCCAAACAAAATCTCATGTGCTTCTCAAGGTGTTAGACACATAAGATTTTTTAAAGTTCCTAAGACTGACACATCATTTAAAACAGGTAGTCAATCAGAACATTTAAAATAATCATAGTCAGCAACTTCTTTGGTTTTCCTTGCCACGTTTTTTCATCTGGTTTAGTTTTCTCCATTTGGTTATCTTACATTTTTTATTATTCGTTAACCCATTACGATTTCTCCAATCCCATTCTCCATAAGAAATCTCGATGCTTCTCATTCTCCTCGCCGGTTATGATCTCTCTTCTTCTTTAATTCTTAGCTACTCGTTCCTACTACGTTCTTTAAAAATATGTATAAAAACGAGACATTTAAAAATTTAGTAACTTTAATTTTTTTGGAATATTTCGAAATTTCAAGATCTTTAAACTATAAAGACTAGGTTTGAAGCAAGCGCGGGGTTGTTTGCGATAGTTTTCTGTTTAGTTTTATTTATACTTTATCTCACATCGCATGTCCTTTTATTTTATTTTATTAGGATGTTAACACCCCACTTTATCTCGAGTTTTCTATTTTAAACATTTTAGCATATTATAAATATTATGTTTGTTTACTTCTGTTAGACTATAAACATGCATATGTATTTGACTCAATGTTAAAATTTGTAAGTATAATGTAAAATCGCATTTGCACCGAAATAAGATGAAAAAAAATATATATACTTTTTTACATATCTACTTTGTTGTGGTAGCATATGAGTCTCATGACCATTGATTATTTTCTATTATGTTAGTTTTGTAAGTGAATATATTTTAAAACAAACATATCACAATCCTTAAAATTATGTTTTTCACTGCAATTAAATTTACATATAAAAACTCGACTTCTATTTGTTTAAAAAAGCAAACTCTAACTCTACTTTGTCATTGGTTTTTTATTATTTTAATTAATTTATATCCAACTTTTTAATTTGTAAACACATTATAACATTTAGAAATAGGATAAATCCTTTTAATAAAAAGGTAAATATATACCATTTCAAGTTAAATATATTTTTACTTATATTTAAACTTTTTCATAACTTTTAACATCAAATTATCACATAGTTTATATTAATTAAGTAATTTAGTTGTGTATTTTTCTTAGTTTTATTTATATTTAAAATATAAATATATGTAAAGAAATATGAATAGTCATGTATTAAATATCTTAAAAACAATTTAATGAACTTTTTTGCTGATGTGGATAGCTTAGATGGAGAGAGCAATATATTCTTGAAAAAGTTGTGGAATCCAATGGTTTTACTCTGTCAGCACACGACCAGGCTGACCTGATTAATTTCATGCTCGAACTCGGCCTAACGCTTAGGCAATGCCGCTTTCTTAAACTTACAGAAATACCAAAATATAAAATCAGAGAAACTGTCCAGTTCGCAAATTTGTAATCGAGAAGTATATGCATACTAATCAATGATTAGATGATCAAGACAGTTCTTGTAGAACCATTAAATAAGAAAATAGTTGTAAATATAAAACCAAAATTGATCTTAAACTGGATGCTTCTTGTGGTTTTTCTTTTATTGTGTTTAGTTTGCTTACACTTGTGGAATCTACACACTTTACTATACACACACTTTCAATGCTTTATATAGGTCTAGGATTTTTACCGAAACCCGAAAAAGTTTTTTTGTTGTTTTTTAAACTCAGAAAAAAACTTGAAGAAACCCCGAAAAATCAAAATTTAGCTGAACCAAAACCTGTTTGGTTTTTATGTACAACCCAAAAATCGACCCAAACCTGAAAAATCTGAACCAAAGAAAATCCGAACCAAAGTTGTGAAACACAGGTCCACTGAGGAGGGAGAAGCAGTGAGATTCTTTACCTGAGAGTCATCCCCATATACAATGTCGATATAACAATGAGCCAGCCTCAAAACTAGAAGATTTTTTTTTTGTATTCATTCTACTTTTAGTAACTTTCACTTTCTTTCTTTAATTACACGTAGTTCGAATGTCCGTGCGGATTCTCTCTCAAGAGAAAGATGCTCGAACACAAAATTGTCTTTTTCCTATGTAAACTCTTTGGTTTCGAACATGATGGCCCCTTTGGAGCTAGCTAGAAATATATATACAGCTTCTGATGTCCAAAAAAAAATTGTGAAGTTAATCAAATTGATCTTATAGCATTCATATCATGCTTTTTGACATAATTAAAACCCCAACTATATTATAAAGCCCACGATTGGCCCAGCTTCGGTTAGGGTTTTTTTAGTTTGAATATATACACATGGAAATCTTGAAGAGGATTTATACATGTACCAACCTGAAGGTTATGTGGATGAAAAACAGAGAGATAAAGTATGTTTGCTCAAGAAATCGTTATATGGGTTGAAGCAATCCCCAAGGCAATGGAACAAGCGGTTTGATGAGTTCATGAGACACAAGACTTTACCAGAAGTGAGCATGATCAGTGTGTTTACACTAAAGAGATTTCACATGAGAACTATATATATCTCCTATTATATGTAGATGACATGTTGGCTGCAAGAGACATGTCTGATATTGTGAATCTTAAGAAGCAGTTGAGTTCGACTTTTGAGATGAAGGATTTGGGAGCTGCCAGAAGAATATTGGGAATGGAAATTATTCGGGACAGAGTTAATGGCACATTACAACTTTCTCAGTCAAACTACTTGAAGAAAGTGATAGAGAATTTTAGAATGACGGATTCTAAGAGTTCTCAAACTCCCATTGGTGCACATTTCAAGTTGTCATTGGTTACAGAAGATGAAGAATGCATTGATACTGAGGTAACTCCTTATTCTTCTGCAGTTGGAAGCATAATGTATGCTATGATAGGTTCTAGACCGGACTTAGCTTATGGGATTGGCTTAGTTAGTCGGTTTATGAGCAAACCTGGTAGTATACATTGGGAAGCTGTGAAGTGGTTGCTTAGGTACATCAAAGGTTCATTAGATGTTGAGCTGCTCTACACTAAAGATAAGAATCTGGATATACAAGGCTATTGTGATTCAGATTATGCTGCTGATTTGGATAAGAGAAGGTCTATCTCTGGATATGTTTTCACGGTTGGAGGTAATGTTGTGAGCTGGAAGTCAAATTTACAGCGTGTGGCGGCTTTGTCAACGACTGAAGCCGAGTATATCGCATTGACGGAAGCTGTGAAAGAAGGAATATGGCTTAGGGGGTTACTTCAAGACTTCGGGTTCAAGCAAGAAGCAGTGAAAGTCTGGTGTGACTCGCAGAGTGCGATTTGTCTTTCAAAGAATAATCTGTTTCACGAACGCACAAAGCACATTGCTGTGAAATACTACTTCATCCGTGACATGATCGATGATGGTGAAGTTGAAGTATTGAAGATACACACAAGTCGGAACCCTGCTGACATTTTGACAAAGGTGGTTCCGGTGGGTAAGTTTAAATCCGCATTAGACTTACTTTTAAATCCGCATTAGACTTACTTTTAAATCCGCATTAGACTTACTCAAAGTCACTCGAGCTTGAAAAAGCCTTGTGACTTGCCAGGTGGTGTAGATCCAGAAGGAGATATTCACGGTAGAGATACAAAGATGGAAGATTAATGGAAGATGAGAAGATAATCTGATATTAGTCCAAGGTGGAGATTGTTAAGCTATGGTCTGATATTCAGATTAGGATAAGGATTCAAGAGACTCCATGTTAGCTTAGGATTCCTAAACTGGTTTGGTTTTATGTTTCCTAGTTTAAGTTGGCTTTGTAAGTTCTTGGTTATAAAAGGACAAGTCATTAGGTCTCTTAGAATCATCACAAACTATTACGTTGTATTGTCTCTTCCACAAGCATCTCTGTTTCTGAGAGCTTGTTTTTCATTGTTCTAGTGAATATTGCTGGATTGAGATCTGGTCCAGTGAGTAGTTGATCATATCGATCACGAAACACTAGGATAACAATTCTCTTGTCTTCTTTAAATTTCCTGCACTTGCTTTTACGTTAGAGAGAGAGAGAGCTTGAGAGTTCTTGAGAGAGAGTGCTCTGTTTTATTCACAATCTTGAATCAGGTTTCGATATTATTTCTCAACAGCAACTTGAGAAAAACGACTGGGATGATCACCAAGCTTCCAGTGGATTTGGCCGAAGAGATCCTCTCTAGGGTTCCATTGAAACACATGAGAGCAGTGAAATTAACTTGCAAAAAGTGGAACGCTTTATCCAAAACTCTTAGCTTTAGGAAGCTGCACATTGGTAAAGCATCAGATACAACAAAGGAAGGTGAGTCTCAGATGATCGTGATGATGGATTACAATCTTTATCTGATGAGCGTCGTCGTCAACGACGTTGATCCATATACACAGCTTAAAGGCAAACTTACTTGCCTTGACGAACAAGTCAAGATATCTCAAGTCTTTCACTGTGAGGGTTTATTGTTATGCATCTTGAAAGACGATATTACTAGGTACGTGGTTTGGAATCCGTATTGTGGGCAAACAAGGTGGATCAAGCCCAGATTTTCTTACCCTCCAAGAAAAGGGCACAGTTTCAATTATGCTCTCGGATATGAGAATAAGAAATATTGTCGTAGCCATAAATTCTTGAGGTTCATAGAGCATTACGTGGATGGACCCGACAAACTGTGGTGTGAGATATACAACTTTGACTATGACTTATGGAAGAATCTTGACGCTAATCCAAACTGGCGTATAGAGTCTCGTGACAAAGGCGTTTCTCTCAAGGGAAACACTTATTGGTGTGTTAGAGAAAAGAATTCAGGGTTTCTTGGAAAAGATTACATAATATGTTTTGATTTTACAAGAGAGAGATTTGGGCCGCTTCTGCCTCTACCGTTTAAATATAGTGATAATTGTCTGGTGGCTCTATCTAGTGTTGGAGAAGAGAAGCTTGTAGTTTTCCCTAACCGAAAATATGAACATATTGAGATTTGGATTACGACTAAGATTGAAGTCGGCAATATGTCTTGGAGCAGGTTCTTGACAGTGGACGTTGGATCATACACTTACATTCCTTTTACACTTCTTTTTGGGAGTGACGACGGTTACGAGAGTTTAATCATCGACGAGGTGAAGAAAGTGGCCTTTGTTATTGATAAATGCTTCAAATCCAACAGAGTTGACATTATTGGAGAGGCTGGATATGTCAGATTTAGTCAAGTCGATCTCGTTGAACCTACCGACATATATATAAAATGTCAGCCACAGGTGTACTCTTATGTTCCAAGTCCAGTGCAAATCTAGCAACCTGCATGAGACTGGCTCTATTTGAGCTCTGTTGTAATTTTTGTTTACGTACAGCAAACCTTTTTGGGTTTTTTTTTTTTTTTTTTTTTGTTTTTTTATTGCAGTGTTGAGATGACAACAATTTATTGAGAATTGCGACTACTTCGTATGATTTGTATTGTATGTAAGAATAGGCTCTTCTGTCGATTCACACTCTCTTGTGTCCCAACACAACCATCAATCTTATGAGTGTCCAAAAAATACAAAAAAATGGATATCTATAGTTACACTATACACTTCAACTTAAAGAGAACAACAATTCAAGTTTGTAAAGAACAAAAATGTGCTTGTAACTTATTCATCTTCCGCTATGAAGTTTGGCTCTTCTCCTCCGCATAGGTACTCATCGCACATCGAAGACGTTCCCCAATCTTTCCTTAGCCTCAATATATCCTCTGTAAAAGTCGACCCCGAAGCTCCAATAAAGACGCTCGACATTGCACATATCGTCTTATCCAGCATTGCATCCACCTATACAAAAAAGCTCGGTCTATGATTCAAGAAGATGATAATATGGTTCCAGTGAGATTCTTTACCTGAGAGTCATCCTCTATACCATGCCGATATAACAACGCGTCCCATTTCTCAGCTGAATTACGCTGTGGACGTTTCACAAGAGGCACGATTTTGCCATCCACCACAACAAGTGACTGAAGCAGACCTGTTTCACTCTCTGCAGCGTCTGTCGATAGATAGATCACTGGCGCATTTGATCTTTCCACTACCCGCGCGATACACTCTGCAGCTTGTGGTATCGGATAGAAGCAGCTCGGCGACTTCGCGTTGCTGCCATGAAATTAAAAATTCAAGAAACAAGAATCCATATGAAATTCAGGAAGAAAAAGCCATACCAGAATTTGAGGAAACCATGTCTACGGAAATGAAGAGCGATGAAGTCCTTTCCCAAGAAAGTCTGGATGAATCGCTGCGCCGTCAAGAGAATGAGCTTGCTTGGCTCGATCAACATCTTGCATTTGTGGTTTATTGGTCCACCAGGCTGCAACACCAAATCTTGCTCCATATCAGCGTAGAAGACATCACCGACGGCGATCACTTCGTCGTCGGAGTTGAAACTTCTCTTCACCTCTTCGGAACTTCGCTTGCTCGGTTTCTTGATATCTTCACTCCAAGGAGATTCAAGCTTCGCGTCAATGGAAATCCCCAAACCTCTCAGCTTCTTGACATGCTCGTCGTCCACGTAACAGAGCTGCGGTAACGAGAAGTAACATATGAAACGATCAATTCGAGGAGGAAGCTTCTTCTTCTTCGCATTCGTCTTTTCCTTGAACTGATCGAAAGAAACGACAACGTTTCTTCCCAAGCAAGTGTTGATCCGATCTATGTCTATCACTTTATCGTACTGGTAATCGAATTTGGAGCTCGGGATCACGAGAACTCGATCTAACAATGCGGCGAAGAACATGTGCTTCTCTAGGCAAATCAAGTGGTTGCTCATTTGGCCTGAGAGGCAAATAGCGAAGAGGAACTTATCTGGTCTCGGATTCCACTCTATCGTTCTCCGATCTGATAACTTCTGATCGACTTTTCTACATCTATCGTAGCCGGAGGTGTAATGACCGGAATCGGAATCGGTTTCGTTGCCGCCGGAGTAGTTTCTGGTCCTGTGTGGTGAGAGAAGCACCTCTTGGATCTCTTTGTTCAATGAGATCTGCTTCGAAACAGCAGACTTCACATCCTCAAACAACACAGAGGATCCCAAATCAGATTGATTAAGGGAAGGATTCACCAACGTACCGTTCCAAAGAGAGAGAAGCGCGAGGTGTTGTTGCCGGAGAAGATACAGTGCGCGAAGCTCCGATTCCTTGACGCGATTCGAGAGTGGATACGATTTGAAGCTGGAGAGATTCGCGGAGAATAGCTCGCGAGGATCAGTGAATAAGAAGATTAGACCGATTGCGATGGTTAGCGAGACGGCGGCGAGGAGGTAGCGTTTGTTGAGCGGGACCTTCCTCCGTGACAGAATGTCATCGATCTGGAACGTCGATCTCGGAGTCCCGCCGGTTGTGGTGGTGGCGGAGGAAAGCGGATCTTCCCGGTGGCGGTTTCGGGTGTCGTTCTGTGGGATCAAATGCTGGTGGTCTTCTTCATCGTCCGACGAGTTGTGCTCCATCGCCAAGAGAGAATGAGCTCCAAATCAAACAGTGAGATTCTTCTCACTTTCCTAGAAAAATTCGAAGAAAGCGAAATCTCTGAGAAAATTTAAACTACATTGAGTAATTGATAAAGAAGAATGATTTCAAAATTGAGTGAAGAAGAAGGAACTATAATTTCGTCGGTGACTAACCAGAAGTCAGTGAGACGGTGACAGTGGGTGGAGGAGAATGACTCGGTACGAGTCATACCGGGTTTTATGAGTCCTTAAAGTTAATTGATTTGTAAAACCGGTTTAGCGTAGCCAGTTAGATTTGCTGGATATGAATGGGCCACGAGACTTTACAGATGGATCCACCAACTATGACCAGCAAATTCTAAATACTTGAGTTTTGTTTCTTTTCGTTCTGTAATTTTTATTATGAAAAACATAAATGAGAAAATTATTGTTTTTTTTTTTTTTTTTTTTTTTTTTTTTTGTGGTGGCAAAGCAAAAGATAAAATCCATCTACAAAGATATATTATCAATGCAAATAAAAATTTGGTTTCTGTCACTAGATGCAACAACAACGATTAAAACGCGACTTAGAAGGAGGAGGAGAAAGACATTTTCCTGACTGGTACCCCGACTTCTTACAGTCGGAAGCACATTGGCTGTCTCCGTACGATGCCGAACACAGAACATTGCAAGTTGCAACTTTCGCTGTAGGTTTGATATCTGCATGTCCACGAAAAGCCATCACCACATGGATATAACCATAATCATATGCATTTGCATTATTCTATACATTACAACCTCTATAAAATAATAATGTTGGGACTTTGAAAATTTATTATTTATAAAATTATTAATTTATGGATAAAATAATAATTTATCGATAAGTAATAAATTATTAATTTATAGAGAGATTTTTCAATTTGAATTCTTAATATTCATTAAAAAACAATATGTTCAAAATATGTTGTATCAATAAATTTGAAAAATTTAATCAAATTTGAAATAACAATTGAGTCATATTCTGATTAATTACCTTATATACTTAGTTATATATGTCTATATTTATAATTATGTATTTACTTTATTACTGGGACTATATATTTACATATGATTTTCAAAAGTATTATTATCTAATCTAATTTTGGTAATTTTTACACCGATCCGACTCGGAACTGGCAAATTTTATTACTTTTTAGTAAATATTATTTTATCGAGTATTATTGTATAGATGTTCTTACTGTATATAATATATGTCAACACACGTACACATGCTGATATATTCTTGAGCTGAATGTTCATGTTTTCAAATGATGAAACCTAATTAGAAATTAAACAACTTAAAAAAAACGAGAAACATATATACCTGAAGCCAAGACGTTGTAATTTGACAACGAAGCTGTCAATAGTATTATAAGAAAAATTGTCATCGAAGTCTTTGTGATGCACATTGTTTTACTTTTCTTTTTGCAAGTATCAAGTCTATTGAAAATATACGTAGAAGCTATATTTATAGATCATTAGGTTTTTGTGATTTGAAAATAAAAATAGTCGAAGTTGAACATCCATGTATACTAATAACAGTTTTCTTTTTACTAAAAGATTTTGTTTTGTTTCTAGTGTTATTATGGTCAGATGAAGATTACCATTTTCGGATAAGTAGAAATAATCTTACTATTTATATTTTATCAGATTTGACTACAAATTTTGTTCTCAGAGAATCCGAAATAAAAGAAATAATATGATTAGGTATCTTTTGTTCCAAAATATGGAATGATAATTAGATATGACTAGAAATGATAAGCATCTAATTATATAAAGACACAGTGAGTCTCACAAGAGTCTAACATCTCATCATTTTTTTCAAGTCTCTCTACTCCTCTTTCTCTCTCTCATTGTCCTAAAATCGATTCCTTCATCGCTTCTCCGTTCCAGAGATTGATCACTTTTGCTGGAACAAGCTCAAGCCGCTGCTTAAAGACAAAGTAAAGTGAAACTCACATTATACAATTCCATTGCGTACGGCCTAAATCGTAAATCAAGACAATTTGTAGTTATTTGCGGAGGAGAAAAAGTGATGATGATGACGAGATGCTCCGAGGTAACTTTGATGGTGGACACGACACAAAATCCACGTTACTTACTGCACATAATTAGTACATGTTCCATGATTCGCTTCTTACAAATCTGAATTGAATCAGGTTTCTTTTTTCTTAACTAGATTGGAATTGAATCGGTTTTCTATTAAGATTTTTTTATTTATGAATTGTGTCTCCCTGCAGCTATTGTATAATCAAACTTGCAGTTTTTCATGTCAAGAAAGTAGCAACTGATGTCTATTCTTCTCCAGGTTCGTTTTCCATTCGATTTTATCATATAAGTTAAATACAAGCTAGAAACATAACATTTTAGATTATAATAAAAATGAAAAAAAGTTACAAAATGTGTTTGAAAATAAAAGAATGTGTAGAAAATAACAAATGTGTAACTGAAAATCTACTCACAACTTAAACATAACAAATGTGTACCTGAACATCAACTCACAACTCAGCATAGCAATATAGATTTCGGATCATGCATGTCGTCCATAAAACGATACATTTCCTTGCGAATGAAACACTCATCGCACACATTAAGATTTAGATCATCACACCCTTCTTCAACCTCCATCAGACTAAATGTCATATTCTCGATATATTGCTTGACACTCATTTCTAAAATAACCCTACAAACATTTATGTGATATTACCTCAAAGTTTCCATTCCTTGATTCTTTCACTGTTGAGTAAGGTAATTTACTCCCTCACCCAAAATCACCTTCAATGAAGTTGATCATTCCATGCAAGTAAATAGTCTATGGATGCGTTTCTTGAGCTGTTGTCGATAGTTGTTTCAAACTTTTTGTGACCTTCTTAAGATGAAAACCATTAAATAAATCACATAGAAATATACCATGTAAATTACCATACTTGGCACACTCCTCGAGTAGCTTCCTTTATCTGGGTACCATATCATAATGTGGGAAAATAATTCCTTCCAAAGAAAGACTCCTTAGAACTTCCGGGTATTTTGAAATGTTTTGCATGTGGCCATGCAAGAGCCTAAGTGTGAGAAAAAGAGGTAAATTTAGCTAGTGAGTATGATCATAAGCATGTCATATGGTAACATGGTAAGATTTGTTTGACTACATTTCATGATTATGTAAAAAGAATTCTAAATTGTTTGGTTGGAAAAAAAGAAAAAGAAAATATCTCTTTTTATAGTGATCTTATATGGTGACATGTCTTTACACTCACCATGTTTTTTTTTTCTTTTTTTTCAACCAAACAATTTAGAATTTTTTTTACATAATTATGAAACGTAATCAAACAAATCTTATCATGTTACCATGTGACATGTTTATGGTAATACTCACTAAAGTTTTTTCTTTTTCTCACGTTGACTTACCCTCTTGCATGACCACATGCAAAACATTGCTAGGAGTTTCAAAATACCCGAAAGTTCTAAGGAAACTTTCTTTGGAATGAATTATCTTACCAACTTACCATAGGGTACCCAGAGAAATGAGGCTACTAGGAGTGTGCCAAACATGATAATTTACATGGTATATTTCTATGTGGTCTATTTAATGTCTTTGATCTTAAGACGGTCACAAAAGGTTTGAAGCAACTATCAACAACAGTTCAAGAAATGCATCTGGAAGCTATGTACTTGCTTGGAATGATCAATCTCATTGAAGATGATTTTGGTGGTGAGGGAATAAACTACCTTAGTCAACAGTTGAAGAATCAAGGAATAGAAACTGTGAGGCAATGTGTTCATCGGTTTATTTTAGAAATAGAGGTTGGAGAAGAGTGTGGTGATATAAATCTTAATGAAATGTGCGATGAGTGTTTTATTCGCAAGAAAATTTATCGTTTTGTGGACTACATGAATTGCATTATATATTGTTGTGTCTAAGTTGTAAATTGATTTTCAGTTACACATTTGTTATGTTGTTGTGAGTTGATTTTCAGTTACACAATTTTTATATTTTCAAACACATTTTGTATATTTTTGTTTTAGTAATCTAAAAGTTATGTTTCTAGTCTTTTTTTTGTTTTGTTTGATAAATGTTTCTAGTCTTACGCTTCAGGAACCGAACTCGACCCAACCAACAACGAGGATACAAGTCTTAGATTGTCTTTAGTTATTAATATCTGAATCATCTAAACCATGAAAACCTAAGGATTCCTAATGCCCCCCATTTCATTTTCTTGCTTTTTTATTGTTTTTTACGGATTCGTTACGCTGACAACAACAAACACCATAGCCTAATTTTTCATTGAATTGGGTCTGGTTGTCTACAAAATTTTGTTTTACGTATGTCATGCATCAGACCTCTAACCAAGCACATATCCATGTCTGTCTTACCCCCGAAGAACAGTTGAGGAGCACTATTACCTAAGCGAACATTGTGGCTCACGCCAATTCGAGTGTAACAAATTAACTATTTGTCATCGAAAAAACAAAAGGAAAATACAAAGTATAATAACAAAATCATTTAAAGCTATACAAGATAATTACTTTTATTATTTATAGGTTTGGTTATATATTTTAGAACTATGAATCATTCATTCTACCATGAGTTCCACATATCAATTATGAAAACCAATTCTATATCTTTAAGATCCGTACACTCATCCACCATAGTTTGGGTCAATAACAGTGAATGTGCCGGTATTTCCAAAATTACATGTTTTTTTGGTGCGGCCGTTTTTTTGGTAATACATGTTCATCACATATGATGCATGATTTGGGAGAATATTGGGGTTATAAAAAATTCCACAAGGCTTGATTGGACTACAATCATAGCTTCCTTGATTGCACACAGAATCAATATTCGCTTATAATTGTGCATTTGTTGTCGTGAAAGTTGCTACACACCATTGTGCTGAAGTCACCACAGGAAAGTGATGGATCAACAACTGATAGAAGGATGAAAAAGAGCTTCAACAATGAACACATTTTAGTCATTAGTTATAAATGATAATTCATATATTGGATATCATTTACTCGTATATATACACACTAAATCAAATGATATATTTGTTATATTGTTAAATTAAAAATTAATGATGTTTTTTACCTTTCTAGAAATATCTAAAATATAAAGATTATTTAATAGAGAAAGTCAACTAATAGAGTTAGAGAGTCCTCAAAAGTGTCCACGTAGTAAAAAAAGAGTTATATTACAATCTATTTTAAATGTTCATTTAATACATATTTATTTACATTTACTGTAATTTTAATTAGTAAATATATATTTTTATATAATAATTAGTACATTGAATAAAATTTAAGACATTCATATCAATTCATTTAATAGTGAAACAAAATCTGTACATAAGTATTGTTTTCCTAACATTATGTAAATATTACATATTTTTTAAGATGTATTTAAGGACATTATGAAAAAATCATAAAAATAAATCCATTTTTACCTACATTAATGCATTCATCATTTAGATAATGTAAGGATTATACATTTATATGCTTGTTCTTTTCTAATGTGATAAGCAAATACTATTTTTTTTAGTTCTCAACGCAAATTGCTGATTTGTCAAACTCTGGAAAGGCACATTGACCTTTCATTTAGTAGATTCGATAATACTCTAGTTGTTTCTTGAAAATTTCTTTACTTGTGGTTGTAACCTTTTAATGTTCTTGGTTGCCTTCTATTACAAGAAACCTTTTAGAATCTCTCTTACAATCATTTTAAAACAATTCCGTAATTACCATTCCGGTTCAATCAAAGCTCGATTTGGTTTGGCTTGTACATGAAACATTTTCTCAATTTCTATCCACCGCCGCCGGATGAAATCTGTAGGAAATCGACGGAAAGAGAACTCCACGGAAAAAGAAATCTCAAGTTTTCATTCACCGATCCTTGTCGGAAGTTGATGATCAGTGACGACGACGACGATGTCCATTCTAGGAAATACATGTGAAAACGCCTCCCACTCGTCACATAGCTCCCATATCTGGAGAGAGTGGTTACAGCTTGAGAGAAGAAGTTGATCTCTGGAGAGATTACATCAGATGGTGATGGTTTCTTGCATGTGTGCTCTTATGTTCCAAGTTCAGTCTGGTTTTGAGTCTTATGATCTGATGAGAAACCAACGTCTTACCAAAATTTATCTCCTTTGTAAGATTTGTTCTTTGTTACATATCACACATAATAACAGTTGTACCGTCAGTTTCATGACAAAATCTCTTTATTATAAATTTTGAGTAGAAAGAAAAGATGATTCAAATCAAACAATCAAACAAGTTTGAGAATTTTCTTGCAAGTGAAGTAATCTGCATCAATGTCCCAAAGCTTGTTTGACCTATGTATCTCTTGCAAGCAACTTTAGAGAAAGAACACAAACAAGCAACCGATATCCTAAAACATTCTTTCTAAGAAAGCAACGTAAAAGGATTCAGTCATACAGAAGAACCTATTGCAGTGACAAAATTGTAAAACATAATAAAATCTCTACGATAATTTGACAATTTCTACAACTCTTTCAAGGGGCAAACAGTTGGTGTCTCATGAGATTCCACGAGAATTTGGCTCTTTCTTCTTCTTCTTACTCCTAGAGACAAAGCTTCTTACTTCTTTTGACGACACTTCCATCTTCGGAGACCCCGGCGGCTCCTTCACTCTGCTCTTTCCGTTTGCTGCTACTACTCTCACCTTGAAACACTCTGACCCAATCTGCAAAAGTTTTCAACTGCCTGCAACCAATCATCGAGACTCTCGCAAGAGATGCTAAGTTGATGTTGGTGGGAATAACTCGTACTATCCATATCCAACATTCCAGTTTGTGTAGATTCCTAATAGAAGAGGGAAGCTCCACCAAACTTGTGCAATAGATAAGTGTCAATGTCTCGAGATTAGTAGCCTCTGAAAGATTTGGGATTTCTTTCAACTGTTCAGAAAAGCTCAAATCTATATGTTTGAGATTTGGTAGGGGCTGCATTAATGTCAAACACAACAAATGAGAAAAATCATACCTTGGAGTTTTTTTTTCATATTTGAATAGTAGCAAATACCAACATGGATTTGTCATCGAAAAAACAAAAGAAAATTGCAAAGTATAATAACAAAATCATTTAAAGCTATAACAAGATAATTACTTTTATTATTTATAGGTTTGGTTACATATTTTAGAACTATGAATCATTCATTCTACCACGAGTTCCACATATCAACTATGAAAACCAATTCCATATTTTTAAGATCCGTACACACATCCACCATAGCTTGGGTCAGTAACAGTGAATGTGCCGGTATTTCCAAAATTACATGCTTCTTTGGTGCGGCCGTTTTTTTGGTAATACATGTTCATCACAAATGATGCATGATTTGGGAGAGTATTGGGGTTATAACAAATTCCACCAGGCTTGATTGGACTACAATCATAGCTTCCTTGATTGCACACAGAATCAATATTCGCTTGTAATTGTGCATCTGTTGCCGTGAAAGTTGCTACACACCATTGTGCTGAAGTCACAACAGGAAAGTGGTGGATCATAACAACGGATAGAAGGATGAAAAAGAGCTTCAACAATGAACACATTTTAGTCATTAGTTGTAAATGATAATTCATATATTGGATATCGTTTAATCCTATATATACACACTAAATCAAATGATATTTTGTTATATTGTTAAATTAACAATTAATGATGTTTTTTACCTTTATAGAAATATCTAAAATCTAAAGATTATTTAATAGAGAAAGTCAATTAATAGAGTTAGAGAGTCCTCAAAAGTGTCCACGTAGTAAAAACAAAAGAAGTTATATTACAATCTCTTTTAAATGTTCATTTAATACATATTTATTTACATTTACTGTAATTTTAATTAGTAAATATATGTTTTTATATAATAATTAGTACATTGAATAAAAATTTAAGACATTCATATCAATTCATTTAATAGTGAAACAAAATCTGTAACATAAGGATTGTTTTCCTAACGTTATGTACATATTTTTTTAGATGTATTTAAGGACATTATGAAAAAATCGTAAAAATAAATCCATTTTTACCTACATTAATGCATTCATCATTTAGATAATGTAAGGATTATGCATTTATATGCTTACTATTTTTTTTAGTTCTCAACGCAAATTGCTGATTTGTCACATTGACCTTTCATTTAGTAGATTTGATAATACTCTAGTTGTTTCTTGAAAATTTCTTTACTTGTGGTTGTAACCTTTTAATGTTCTTGGTTGCCTTCTATTACAAGAAACCTTTTAGAATCTCTCTTACAATCATTTTAAAACAATTCCGTAATTACCATTCCGGTTCAATCAAAGCTCGATTTGGTTTGGCTTGTACATGAAACATTTTCTCAATTTCTATCCACCGCCGCCGGATGAAATCTGTAGGAAATCGACGGAAAGAGAACTCCACGGAAAAAGAAATCTCAAGTTTTCATTCACCGATCCTTGTCGGAAGTTGATGATCAGTGACGACGACGACGATGTCCATTCTAGGAAATACATGTGAAAACGCCTCCCACTCGTCACATAGCTCCCATATTTGGAGAGAGTGGTTACAGCTTGAGAGAAGAAGTTGATCTCTGGAGAGATTACATCAGATGGTGATGGTTTCTTGCATGTGTGCTCTTATGTTCCAAGTTCAGTCTTGTTTTTAGTCTTTTGATCTGATGAGAAACCAACGTCTTACCAAAATTTATCTCCTTTGTAAGATTTGTTCTTTGTTACATATCACACATAATAACAGTTGTACCGTCAGTTTCATGACAAAATCTCTTTATTATAAATTTTGAGTAGAAAGAAAAGATGATTCAAATCAAACAATCAAACAAGTTTGAGAATTTTCTTACAAGTGAAGTAATCTGCATCAATGTCCCAAAGCTTGTTTGACCTATGTATCTCTTGCAAGCAACTTTAGAGAAAGAACACAAACAAGCAACCGATATCCTAAAACATTCTTTCTAAGAAAGCAACGTAAAAGGATTCAGTCATACAGAAGAACCTATTGCAGTGACAAAATTGTAAAACATAATAAAATCTCTACGATAATTTGACAATTTCTACAACTCTTTCAAGGGGCAAACAGTTGGTGTCTCATGAGATTCCACGAGAATTTGGCTCTTTCTTCTTCTTCTTACTCCTAGAGACAAAGCTTCTTACTTCTTTTGACGACACTTCCATCTTCGGAGACCCCGGCGGCTCCTTCACTCTGCTCTTTCCGTTTGCTGCTACTACTCTCACCTTGAAACACTCTGACCCAATCTGCAAAAGTTTTCAACTGCCTGCAACCAATCATCGAGACTCTCGCAAGAGATGCTAAGTTGATGTTGGTGGGAATAACTCGTAGCTATCCATATCCAACGTTCAGTTTGTGTAGATTCCTAATAGAAGAGGGAAGCTCCACCAACTTGTGCAATAGATAAGTGTCAATGTCTCGAGATTAGTAGCCTCTGAAAGATTTGGGATCTCTTTCAACTGTTCAGAAAAGCTCAAATCTATATGTTTGAGATTTGGAAGGGGCTGCATTAATGTCAAACACAACAAATGAGAAAAATCATATTGGAGTTTTTTTTCCATATTTGAATAGTAGCAAATACCAACCTGATTCCATCCCAGAGCTTTTCGAGATTGCTGTGACATAGAGCTCTACGAGACATTCAGGTTGAAATGTTGAGGAAGACGTTTCTCGGGTAATAAGGCCAATAGTAACCTTAGACGAGGTAGATATTCCATGTCTTCTGATATCCGCAATTGCATCGGCTCGCATAGATTCTTAAGAAACGGAGATTAGGCATTCCTTCAAAGGCTCGCCCACTTATAGAGAAGTCGCCCACCTTAGACATATCAAGTGATATACCTATGACAGATCCAGTACCCTAAACAAATATTCCAAAACAAAGACTAATGAAAACTGTTATAACGAAAGCAATACAAAAATCTCTAGAGAGAAAATATGTTAATGTAAGAACTTACTGTTTTATGCTAGTACATCACGAATCTCTTTGGCTCTACTAAAAATTGACGTTTCCCAGGCTCATCCGACTGACTGTTCGTGCACTATTTGTCTACCCATTTGTTCTAGTAAAGAGTGCATCAGTATAAAATTAGATAAGGGCTTTGCACAAGAGATTTGACGGCTAGGGTCTTCAGCCCGTTTTCGACATCCAAATTACTGTCAGCGAGCATGCTTCTCACATCATGAAAAGTATGTTGAAAAAGCATGCGATGTGGAGAAACAGAGATTGATCTTTCTTCGACAATCGGTCATACCCCACTCTTAATATGTCCTCAATTTTCTATCAAGACTAGATTCGATCCTAGATATCTGAACTTCCCACTCGTTCCTTGCTCTCCCCACGCAGAGATGAACCCACAACAGAAAGCCTAACGGAAGATTACCGCAAAGCTCTGCTACTTTACGTGCAACCTCTTCAAAACCATCTGGCACAGACCTTTGTTTGAAAGCAGATAGACATAACATCTCAAGAGCTTCTTCTCAGATGGAAAATCCACATGGTAGATATCTTCTATCCCATGCGCCTTAAAAATCTTTTTATCTTCTGTGGTAACGATGATCCGACTTCCAAACCGAACCAAGACGTTCTTTAGCCAATAAATCTAGTTTTTCTAGATATCTACATCATCAAGAATGATAAGCACTCTTTGATCTTTAGCCATTCATTGCACCTAAATGATCTACCCTCATATCCCTTTTGGTTCAAAATCTTAGACAGAAGTTGGTTTTGCAAACACAACTTTGAATCATAGTCATTCCTATAACTTATACTCCTCTAGGTTCCCCATAAAACATCTAAGTCGAAAATCGTTAGAAAGTAGATTGTATAAAGCTCTAGCAATGGTAGTCTTACCGATTCCCGCAGGACCCCATATTCCGATCATCTTCACATCATCATCACGCTCAGGCATAACAAAGACTTCACTTTTCTCAAGTGAGCTTTGCAGTCCCACCATGTCGTCAAAATCCCTTGACAGTGTAACATTCAGTTTGTTGGAAACATCTGTAGCAATCTTTTGGATCATATCTGCTTCGTTAGCCCTAACAAAAAACAAAGAAACCGTGTTGAGAGAATGCTCTCCTTCCATGCTAATGTTTCACCATTTCTTGAGAAAGATACAAAAGCAACAAGATTCGTACCACTTGAGAGAATGATTTCTCCTTCAATGTTTGCGACATCAGTCAAAGCTTTGATCCATCCCTCCTTCACTTCCTCACCTTTCCCTTGGCAAGTTTCCATGAAAGCACTCCCAAAATCTCCTTTCTGTTTTCGTACATTGGACAGATCGACATCGTAAAAAACGATCATCACGATATGCCCCAAAGCTTCTTTGCAGTTCAAGATCTCGAGCAATTCATCTAAACACCAGCTCGAAGAAGCTGTACTTCTTTGAGAGCAAAACGATCGACACTCTAGATCCTCTAATGGCATTCGTGAGTTCAGGGCCTATCGTATGGCCTCTCTCGATCTCCTCATCTTTGAACGGTCGTGATCCCTTTGTTTGCGAAGTAAGCAAGTAAATGACTGAGAAACCCTCTATCTATGGACTATGGAGGAAGTAACAACTAACCCATGTAGGGTCCAGATTTTAAAGAAACGAGTAAAGAGGAGAGAGTTTTCAAAGAAACGCTCTCAAGTTGATGAACATAGTTCAGATAAACAAACAACACAAGCATTAGTAAGTAAAATCTTCCCTCTCAAGTAATAGAAACTCTCTACAAAAAATACAAATCTATATGCAACTAAAAGTCTCTGATTTAACTAGCGTGTCCATCTAATGAAGAGATACAAAATGACAAGCGTTGCAATCATACCGACGTATTTGATCCACGTGTCGACACGGTTTCGCCTCTCAATGAGCCTCAGTACCGATTTCGAGAGCCCTACCGTGTTCAAAACATCCAAAGCTTTACGCTGTGCTCTCTGAGAATCAACAAAAACAAAACCAATATCACTAAAAAACGTTTTTAACCTTTACGCTTGCTCGCTTCGGTTAGCGTTTTTTTTACCTTCAAACGATCCTTTTGCTCAGCGTATTTGGAGAGTATAGCAACTCCGCTTGAATACGAATCTTCGAGCATTCTCTTTGAGTTCTTCACAGAGTTCATCGCTTGAGCCTCCTCATCAAATATCTGCAGAATATGCGCTCCTTCTCCGCTCCTCCTCCCTAACAAATCCGCCTTCTCTTTCGCTTCCAACATCTTTCTCCGATTCCTCGACGTGATTTTCTCCAAACTCTGGTTCAGATACTCTGCCTCTTCTCCTACTTGTTCACTCTTTCTGTTGATTTTCAAGAATTGACAAAGAACAAGAACCAACATTGTGATTTTCTTGATTTTGAACAAGAACCAAGAACAAGAAGAAGAACAAGTACCAAGATTTTCTTGATTTTCAAACAAGAACCAAGATTTTGACAAGAATCCAATCAAGAACTTGAAAAAAAAAAAAAAAAGAAGGAGGATTTGTATACTTACCTTCTCCATAGATCGCGTTGCGGTTTAACGGGGATGGAGCGCCAGAGAGAGTCCATGTTGGAGCAGAGAGATTGGACTTGAGTAATGTCTCGTTTCACTGAAGAGGAAAGATCAGGAGAGTCGTCCATAGGAGATGATGACTCCAGCACTACTGTATACCTCTGATAAACCTCCTCCCGTTGTCCCAGACGCCATTTTTTTACACACCACAAGGAAAGATCAAGAAACCGTAGTTCTTCTTGTTATATCTCTCTATACACGAGAATGCAAATTAGTTGTAATTCGGAACCATTTTGGTTGCAAATTGAAAATGAAAAGTCTAAATTGTAACCTATACAGAAAGGCAAATCGTTAGAGATTTAAGTAAAAGTATGAATTAGAATCACCTTTCGACAAAATTGCCTAAACCTATCAGATCGAGACAATTCAGTCGAAATCGAATCAACAATTCGATCAAATTCCTAGAAATTCATCTTCGACTAATTAAATGAAGAAACTAAGAGGAATCGAAGAAAGGTGACAAACTCATTCCCGTACCAGTGGAGGCGTGAATTGCGATCTGAAACCTTTCGCTTTCGATGATCAAAGCAAAACAAATGCAGCGAAGCTATTCGAACGAACGAGAGAGGAGAGAGACGAATTAGCAAGGGCTTGGTTTTACTTAAACCGGGAAGAAATTAGCAATTGAGCTCACGCGGTTGGTCGGTTCTGTATAATTGTCCCGGTTCTGTACCATGTTGGAAACTATAATACTATGGATGCTTATTTTTGACCAAAATGATTAGAGAGTTTGACCAGACACAATTGGGGTTTCTCTAATATATATGCATTTCTGAATGAAAATGTGTGTTGCCATGTTGTTATTCAGATCTACTCTTTTCGAATAATTAATTACTCCAGCAACATTTAGCTTAAATGCGATCCTTTTATTAGTAACCGATGACTCGATAGTTTGAGCACTGAAGTTGGACTTACTAATAATGATAAACACTAAAAACTAATTATATTATTGTTTCATTGCTAATACACAGATAAACGTGTATACATGTGCTTGTGTAAAATGTCAGGACTCTCACCAGTGAATGTTCCATAAATGAAGCTGATTAAAGATTAAATATCTCTAACATCTGAAATAATAAAAAGTTCACGTGATCAGATCTCAAAATGTCACAGGAAGAGGAAGGAACCATACATATCCTACAAAGCAAAGTAAAGAAGCTTTACAACTTGTCTTTCTCTCTCTCTTTAACTCAAGCATCTTCCTCTAGTCTCTACCCAAAAAAATCTAAGAACAAATCAACCAAAGAAAAAGATAATTCACCAATGAAGAGATCGATCTATCTAGCTCTGTTTCTGCTTTTGTTAGCTTTCTTTAGCAGCAAGTTTCACACAGAGGGACACCGAGATTTGAGAGATTTGCAGATAAGCAAGGAGACGTCTCTTGGTGGTAGCTTACGAAAAATCCCAGGAAGTCGTTACAGTCCTATACAGAACAAGTACGTGAAAGCAATCAAAAAATTAATCTAATCCCAATTCGTTTTTATTTTGTATTTAATTTGACATCAAGATTGTGTTGTTTTTTTTTTTTTTTTTTGGTACCAGGAGAGATCCAAGGAAACAGAAGATCACATCAAGAGAACCATAGATCTTTTCTTTCTTTTTCCTTTTACGTTAGATCTTCTGAGTTTTTTTGTTTGTTGTAAAATAGTATGCCTATGTTGTATTGTGAATGTTTTAATGTAGAGTTTGTAACTGTTACTTGTCGTTACTGGAAAACTCTTGCTATGCCACTGTTCTATTGACTCCTCCTGTCTAAGGAGTGTTTATTGGTAACGTTAAAACATCTTCAAGGTTTTATAAATTGACTTGAGTTTAATATGGATTTTCAAAATATCACCATGATATAACTCAAGATGTATTTCTTTATCTTTCATGACAAGAAATCGTCGAGGATTTGTTGGGAATGTATAAGAGTTTATAAATTGTAAACATGCTTGCAAATATCTTGGAGATAACTCATAAACTCTTCCCATATCAAACTCAAAATAGTCCTGGAACAAGTTAACTTGCTTATCAATGCTATATTGCTATTATATATGCTAGAATACGGATCAATCATAAATTTCTTGAAAACTTTGCTGAACAATTCGGCATTACAAACCTTGTTTGCGGGTTTTTAAATTGAAAAATTTAATGGATAGTCTCGTGTTGCTGTTCCATTTCTTTTACAAAATCTCTACAAATTCGAAACATACAATAAACTTGCAATCTTGGTAGAGAAACTATTGCCATGTTTGTTTGTCATCAGCTATTAGCACATTAGGTAACTCCTAAAAACAAGAAATGTGTGTGTAACTTATACTACTAACTGTAATTTTGTTGTATTGTATAAATCTTAACGTACCATTTTGCTTTTCGTTGCTTTTCTCGTGCCATTCTCTAAAAATCATGACTATACGATTCCGTATTTTGAACACTTGTCCTATTGTTACTTTTTTGGTGAATAAAAGTATAAAACAAAATGGACATGTTTTACAGATTTTGAGCTTTCTTTTGGTGTTATCAAATATGAAGGGATTAACTGTCGTACTTCTGAAATTAGTATCTCAAATCTTTTAAACAATTTATACGAGTTACATTGGAAATTGTTTAAATAACATGTCAGTTATAAATTATAAACGCCACTGTCGGTAAATTAAAGAAGAAAAAAAACATTAAAAAGTTTTTAAGGATTATTAATTAATTAACCAAAAAGAAAACTCAAAAGGTCAAAGACTGTTGGCAAATTAGACAATTTCTGATTTTCATTGAAAAACTAAAAAAAAAACGAATCAGAGCCGTTACCGGGCTGCATGATTCTCAATCGCCACCGCTTCACCGTCACCATCACCAAACTCCACCGCCGCAGCAGCGGCAACCCACAAATCTAACGGCGTACATTCCATCTTATGCTTCGCTCTCCAATCCAACGCCTGACATCCTCTAGAGCAATAGTTCACTTTCCCACAAACGGAACATCGCCGGAACTCATGCGACCGAGTCTCCGGCCTACCGCATCCGCCGTGAGAACACATCCTAAGCCCTTCCGCTAAAACGATCCGACCCGAATCAAACCAATCCTTCAAAAACCGGTTTACTGGGTGAATCTCTTGAACCGGTATTATTCCTCCGCCGCCGCCGCAGGAAGCGAGATCGGTTACCGTTTCGTTTCCGGTTTTGAGAGAGAGGTAAGCGCGTAGAGAACACGCGAGCTCTCTGGCGTTGGCTTGAATCAAAAGCCGACGACCTTCGGAGACGTCGCGAGGAACTCCGTAACCGTCTTGGAGGCAGTGACCGAGCTCTCGTAGAGCGTCCACGTGGCCGAGATAAGCAGAGCGTGCGCAGAGAGCGACGCCGGCGCGTAGATTCTTATCGGATTTGGTACCGCCGCTTCCGTTAAACTGAATCACCGACAGCGAGTACAGTGCCGGCGCGTGAGATTTAATCGCGGCTCTAGCCATCAGAGACGCGCCGCTCACTGGGTTTTGAAGACAGTAAAATCGGATCTGTGCAAAATGAAAAACAAATTTAGAAAAGAGAAAGAGAGAGAGAGAATCGAAGGAGGAGATATGGAGATTACTGTACGGACCATCCCGAGAGCGAAGCAAGCATCAATGTTTCCGGCATTAACGCAGCGTTTGAGGAACTTGTGAGCGGAATCAGACCATTTATCCGCCGTGACGGCTAGGGTTTGAGTGCCGGCTCTGGATAAAACCAGAGGGTGTAAACCCAATCGATTCAATCTCTTGCATCTGAAAACGAGAAAGAGAGTTCGTCGGGAATCTGATGGAGTTTTAGCACGGTGACGGAGAAGACAAAAAACCGACTTACGTGATGAGAACGCTGAGGAAATCGGCGGGAGAAGAAGCGGAGGAACTGAGTTTGCGGAGGATAGTGATGACGAGATCGTCGTGTAAGTCGTCCAAGTGGTTCACCGTGAGATTCTCCAACCTCTGTTTCTTGTTGAGATGCGTCATCCGAAAAAATCGTCGGAGAAAGAAGAAGATGAGAAGATATGATTTTTGTTGGAAATGAGAGAGTAGAGAGAAGAAGGAGGCAGAGAAGGAGATGTGAGTATATTTATAGAGAGACACGCACTCGTGAATAAGAAATGTTTTTGTTTTGAGGCCTCGTGGCTTCTCTTTTCCATCTCTCTGCTTTTTTTTTTGTTCTCTTGTTTTAGTTTTTTTTCTCTTTAAACATCAATCGAAAAATTAGGGTCAAAGCCTTATCTGGAAAAAAAAAAACAAAAAAATCAACGGCGTAATAACAAGTTTTCATGTTTTCATGAAACAAGTTTTATGAAACAACATATCACAAATTTTCATGTTTTTTCACTGCAATTAAATTTTATATATGAAAATTTCACTTCTATTTTTTTTAAACAAATTCTAATTCTAATTTCTCATAAGCTTTATATTTTCTTAATTAATTTATATTCAACTTTTTAACTTGTAAACATAATTAAACATTTTTAAATAGAATAAATCTTTTGAATAAAAAGATAAATATATATTATTTCAAGTTAAATATATTTTTTTACTCCATCTCCATTTTGTATTCCAACTTTTTGATAACTTTTAACATCATATAATCACATACTTTCTAGTAATTAATTAATCTATTTGTATATTTTTCTTAATTTTATTTATATTTAAAATGTGAATAAATGTAAAGAAATATGAATAAATATTTTAATGAAAGCCCCCTTGGGCCAGTGGTTTGACTAAGGATTCATTAATGTTTCTACACCAGGAGATTTGTGTTTCGAATCCCGGAGAATGTAATTTATTGTCAATTATGCAGAATCATGAAGACATGTTTGCAGGAGGCTCGAGACGGGCGGTCCAGATACACCAGAAGACGGAATTGTTCGTTGCAGAATCTTCATTATAACATTTCTAATAATTTGTGATACTATGATAAATCAAGTGAAAATATATATATGAAGAGTCATGTATTTTAATAAATATTTTAAATACAATTTAATATTTTTGTGCTGATGTAGACACTTTAGATGGAAAAAAACTCCCTAATTATATATAAAATTGTTTGAAATCTCTTGTTGTGAAGTCGTCTGGTTCATTAATGATTTCAACACCAAAAGTTATGAATTTCGGCAGGTCTCTTGGTTGTTAGATTGAAGAGATTAGTTTTTCGATCCAATCGACAGGGGTTTAGCTTCACTAAGGAGTTTTGTCATCAATATATAGATATCCATCTTCCTATGACATCAGCTTCTGCTGAGGTTTGTTTTAGTTCTTCGTACTTGCTTTGGCTGTTTTCGGCTACTCTAGGATTATGGAGTTATTTATCTTCAACCAGATCAAGGTTTTGTTTTTATTTTTCGTCCATTTGAATTGTTTTATCCATCTTGTCTTCCTTGTGTGGGATTTGGCTTGGGTGATACCTTAGACAAGCTCACTTCTAAATGGTATTGTTTCTCCAAAAAGAAGAAGTGATTGACTGTTGCGTAGTAGTAAGCTCTGAGTCTCAAGCTAGAAAGCTCTGAGTCTCTACCTATCCGGCAAAGACCAGAAAATATACAAAGGGAAAACTGTTGTTTTTTTATTTGTTTTTTTTTTCTAAGCAACCTAACTTTTTTTAAACCAACAAAGGGGCAAGATCCAAAACATAAAGGTCTAAAGCAACAGAGCAAAATATCCAAGTCTAAAGCAGAAGTCTAAAGCATTGAAAAACCTCCTTATTACAAGGTCATCAGGGATCCGGTGGTCAAATCTACTCGCCAAACTTGGCGGCATCGTTGGTGCTCACTCCCTTGTAAACCGTGGGCTTTCGGGCCTTCTTTCCGGCCTTCTTCCTGTCTCTTTCTATCTTCTTCTCCTGGCTAATCTTCCTCTTCACCCAGGTCGCACTCCTATCCTCCTCAGAAGATGAAGTCTCGTAGTAGGTTGCCCTCGCAATCACACAATTACCAACGCCGGACATTATCTTATCAGAACCTTCAATCTCTTAAGATGATGGGAGAGTTCTGATCTTGTTTCTTACTACAATGTGGCCAAGAAGACATCTTTTACCCAGCTGCTGAACGATGCTTTGAATACCTGTCACAATGGAAACTGTAATATTTTCTACAGCAGTAATGCAATGATGGACTGGGAAAGCATGTTTGGTGATTTGAAGTTTAACTCGCTAGGCTTGGTCACATTCCCTCTACAACATGCTCGAAAATTTAAACTTTCTGCTAGAAGTACAAAACCAGGACACTTATCAGTCGGCTTATGCAATCATACTTCTAAAAATTTGGCTTTGGAAGGATTGATCCTTGCCGACCTTGTTTGTTTGTAATTCGATTTTGAAAATCAATATACTCCATTAGATGACAAAAAAATATTTAAAACCATTTAGGATTCAGCACTTATGTGTTTTAGTGCTTTTTTAAACACGAAGTAATCCTAGTCTAATTCAGCTAATTTGATGGATGTTAAAATAATTTTTTTTCTTTGTTTTACATTTAAAATATTATAACAAAATAGAATATTTATGGTATCTTAATTATTTTGATACTAAATAGGTTAATTTTAAAACTTAAAGAACTTATTTTTCAAAATATTAAATTTGTTTTGGAAATATTCATACAAATTTTCTGAATAATTTTTCATCATCATTTATAATATTTTAAAATAAAACAGGGATAAATCGCCAATAATCATGGTAATTGAGATTAATAGTAATACAGTATATTGACTAAACTAAAAGTTAATAGAATAATAACAACATAGTGTAATGAATTACCAAAACATAAGCTGAACAGTAGTTTTATACTCATACAATGTTTTTAATTATAAAACATAAATAGTAAACATTTATTGGATATTAAAACTCATTTAAAAATCTTATGAAAATACAGGATTTTTTAAGAACTTTTTGTTGTTTAATTCCCAAACTAAAGATAAATTTACTATGTATATTAAATTTTTACTATTAAAATTATTTCAAGAGATAGATAAAATCAAATAGAATATTATGATATCTGATAGATTTTTTTTATGTCATAATAAATTATAGATAAACATGAAATTTAATTCAGAAAATAATATCAATTTTAAACCTATGTTTCTTTTACTCTATCTGTTTCATATGAAATGTTATTTAAGATTTCTTCACACATATTAAAAAAATATTACAATTTTCTGGTTTACCCATAATTAATACATAACATTATTTGATTTTATCTAGTATTGAGCCGAAAGAATAGAGATGAATCTGAAAATTATGTTCAAATTTTGAATTGAAAATAGAAAATGACACTTATAATGAGACAAAAAAATAAATTCTAAAACGACACTTAATATGCAAATTTGGACACTATAATAACTATCCTTTTTTTTTAAATAGGTTCAGTCAGATTTTTTTAAAGGAAACATGTTTTTGGAAAATTGTGGATCTCTTTCAATACTATAGCTATAAGTTCTTATAAATCCCACCTTATTGGAAAATTAGGGTACACCAATAAAATATATCAAAAAATTTTTTGAATGGTTTGTAATATTTTTTTTCTAATTAAAAACAAATAGAAAATGTGGCCCCTATCTCTTAAAAAGAAGAGGTCCAACGAAATGATACTGATAAAAGAGAGATATCTAAATACACTAACTTATGAGATGATATTTGAATAAATTAAAATTTGAACTACATTTTCCTCTTTAGTACGTATATGCTTTGGGTTCGTACTAGTTCTTTCATAAGTTCTACACTTCTACCAAATCTTACTTTCATCATAATTCTTTAGTCTCAGATTTTGCATTTATGGATCAAGCAATTCATCTGAGAAACAACAATTAATTTTGTTGACGTCAATTATCAATGTGAGGATCTACTTTCTAGCACGACATTTATTTCCACAAGTTCAACGTCCGATTTAGAAACCAACTACAAGTCGGAAAAATGAATGTACTAACTAGGGATCTAGAACATTTATCGAAATTTATATCGTACCACAAAAAAAAAAAAAAAAAAAACAAGTTTTAAATTTTAAAAATAAATGACATATAACGTTTTAAGTAACCTATAAAAAAAATATTTTAGTTTCATAAATGTCCAAAATCCCTACTAACCACTTTAAAATTTCTAACAATAAATTCTAAAATTTCAAATCCCTTTAAACAACAAGGTCCTCAAATCCTTTTATGTTCATATTCTCTTGAATCATTGATTTCTCAATTTCAAATCCCATAGTTCTTTGAATCCTTTTATATCCATACTAGAAGGTGACCCGCGCTCCGCGCGGGAATTTATATTATTGTGTTAATTTTATTATTTTTCCGCAAAATTAATTTATTTATATGATTTATTATTGTTTCAAAAATATTACACATATTAATTAAAAATAATTAGGGTTAGGCAAAATTAACGTACCGTCTTGTCCCATCGTGTCCCATTTCGTTCATTTTCATCATGTACGTTCTTCCCATCCGCCCTGTTTGTCCCGTCCCGTCCAGTCTCATCCTATGCCGTTATGTTCCTTTCCATTTTGTTATGTCCCATCATGTTTCTACTGTTTCTTCTCGTCCCGTTCCCTAAATATAACTAAGGATAGACAAAATTCTCGGCTAGTCTCATCCCGTCCCATTTCATTCCTTTTCATCTTGCTCCTTTTTTTCCACGTCTCGTTCGTCATGTCCGTCCTGTCCGCCCTATCGAGTCCCATCCTATCATGTTATTTTTTTTTTCCGTTTTGTCGTGTCTTTGTTCTGTCCCTATATATAATTAGAGGTAGGTGAAATTTATGTCTTGTCCCTTCTCGTCCCATCCAATCCCGTCTCATTCCGTTTTTTTTCACTTGTCATGTCCAATCTGTCTGTCTCGTCCCGTCCAGTCTTATCTCTTCCATTATGTTTCTTTCCGTCTTGTCCTATCTCATCATGTTCCTTTCAATTTTTCCTATTCCGTCTCTAAATATAATTTAAGGTAGGCGCAATTATGTGGTATCCCATCCCTTTCCATTCCTTTACATCCCGTCTCGTCATTTAATATAATAAGAAGTAGACAAGATTCATTTATTATCTCGTTATGTTTTTTTTCTGTCTCATCATGTCCGGTCTCATTTCATCACAAAATACTTAAAAAAAATATTGTTCTTTATATAATATCTTGATATCAACGTGAATTATATAATCTGACAAAAATAAATTTATTAAATAATAGTTTTTGTAGATCTATACATAATCTTTCTTTTTTTTTTAAAATGACTTTTCATATTTTTGTTAAATTTATTATAATAATGAATGCTAATTATTATGATTTTTTTTAAAAAGAAAATATAATAAATTAAATAGAGTCTCATGAATTTAGAGGCACCATCAATTGATGATACGACGACGAAGCTGTCTATGAAGACGATGGACCAGCAATTGGGTTTAATTAGTTGCTTTTAACTTTGATTGTAGGAACTATCATTCTCTTTTAAAAATTGATAATTTAGTATTGCAATTGAGAATAGAAATAAAGATTCTCTCAAATCATTGATTCAATATTGCGATTTTGTGATTTGCACGAAAAAGTTTTAATGTTCTTCTCAGTTTTCTTAATTAATTAGTTACCTCAATATATAATAGTAGATAACAATTTTTGAAACAAGGGAGTTATCGCCCGTCAATAGTTGTTATTGAGTTCAGCTTCTTAGTTACTCCTATCAAATCGCAAAGACATTCAGTACCTAAACGATGAGTGGATGCGACTGTACTTTTAACGGTTTATTTAATTTTACAAGACTGTTGCGATTGACTTTGGTCAAAATTTTACATCACGAGATGGCTTTGGAAAGAAATATCAATAAGCAAAAGTTAAGTGGGACACATAAGTACGGAAGACAGAAAATCATGTGGCCGTCACATACGAACACATATGGTTGGTCATCGTTTAATTGCAAGCAAAGTTACTAAACACGTTTTCATTTGTTGTTTTTTTCTCCTTACAATTATCTAATTTTGGAGTGAACTTGTAGAAAAGGGCATCTTAATCATTGCATATGGGTTTCGACAAAGAAAACAATATAAACCTTACACTAAGGTTGTCTCATCAGATAAGAATACATATACAATTATTAGTCAGAGTTAAGGGTGAAAATAGTCGGTTGCTTATTTAAAGCGATGGATTAGGACACAAGACTCTAAGTTTATAATGCTAAATATAGTATACTTGGAAAGTATGAGCTAAACCTTATAACTTGATTTTTTGACTCTCAAATGAGAGGTGTCACCTTTTTTTTGAATCGATGGATTAGGAAAAAAAACGTCAAGTTTTATAATGCTAAATATAGCATACTTGAAAAAGTATTATAAAGTTTTGCAGGCTTAAATCCAACTTACAATCAATTGATGAAAATGATTATATTGACACATCCCTTTTATATAAAGATGAAAAGATCTGTAAGCTTCTTCTAACTTCTGATATGAAATCCTTACAGAAAGTACATTCTTTTTTGTTAAAGACAGTAAGTACATTCACAAGTTACATTAGTATTTTTACTATAAGTGACACAATTTTTTTATTTTGTTAAGAGTGTATTAAATGAAACATCATCCTTATCTAGATGCAACATGCATCCCCAATAAGAACACGCATAGTCCAAGTTGAGAGGCAAGGAGGGGAAATAGAGTTTTGCAAAACAAGTTACCAATCAGCTAAGTAAGATCCTTTTTGTTTTTGTAGGGCCATTGATAAAGAACAAAGTATTACAATATATAATCTAACAATAGTAATAATAGCAACAAAGAAAGAATAAAAGATATTTATAAAATTGATTGCCATGAAACTAGATGGAATGAGCAGGTTTATGGATTGCATGTGGATAAGATTTGAAGGATGAAGATTGAAGATTGGAGTTGGTGGAAGACTCATCCTTTTCACCACCACCAAAAAACCAGAAAAATCCAAAACTAAAATTAAATAAAATGATTTCTTTTATATAATTTCTTTGGGGTCGACGAGTTAGTTTGGTTGATAATGAGTGTCGCATTTTGTTCCCACACTGTACCATTTGCATGCCATCATCATCTTTTGTTCAAACTCTTTTTCATTTAAAGTAGAATTAATTAAATGATAATTCGTAGCAAACAAAAAAAAGAATTAATTAATTATACACAAAAAGGTTTGCTTGCAAGAATTGTAATGAACATACATAATTTCATGTGGGATCAACTTCGGTTTAGTTCGCTGAGTATCAACGTTACCCATGCATTCTGTTAAATGTTTATAATATGGCAAAACCAAGAGAGTTGTTCAAAAAACCAATCTTACATTTGCGGGTTATTTACAAAAGATGCCGTTGATATATCACAAATATTTTGCAACAGACTTTTTAGTAAATTCATATATCACTAAATTATTTAAAAAAAATTAAAATCTTGTACGTTCAACGCAAGTCTAATCCTTGTGCTTAATTTAAGTTGTAAACTAATTTCCCTGACAAGTACATGTATACCTGGATCTATCTGATTATGTATAGTTACTTCTCATTTTGCCTAATCTACATATTTTTCTTGACATCTTCGCAGTGAAAACTCAAGCACATTCAATCCAAAGGATGTTAAAAAAAAAGAACATTTGTTAAAATATAAATCACTTTTAGGTTTTTATTCCAAAAATAGATCCAATTTTGTTTTAACCAATAATAGCACAAATTTGATACAAAAATGATTCAAAACTTCTTCGGAATAGAATAAATCTAAACTCTAATTAGGAAAAGAAAACTCAAACAAAATGTTT